TGCATACAAGTTCTGTGGTTAATCACTCTCCCCATCATCTGTACTTCCTAATGGGGGGGGATTTTAAAACATGTCAGAATCCACTCTCCCTTTAAAAATGAGGCTTGGCTCAGTGGATAGAGCGTCGGCCTGTGGACTGAAGGGTCACGGGTTTGATTCCCGTCAAGGGCACAGGCCTGGGTTTCGGGCTCGATCCCCAGTAGGGGCCGTGCAGGAGGCAGCTAATCAATGATTCTCTCTCATCATGGATGTGTCTATCTCTCTCTCCCTCTCCCTTCCTCTCTGAAATCAATAAAAATATATTTAACAAAATAAAAATGAAAACAGGCGGCCATTGTGTTCACTAGTACAGTCCCCCCTATACCTGGACTGTGAGTTGGGGTGTAGATGATAGGAAAATAGGAATGGGAACAGAGGAGGGGGTGCCGGTAGGTTCTGGGTTAAGGAGAAGAGGCAGGTGTCTGCTTCGTGCCTGGGGGCCGCCCAGGACTGGGTGTGTGGTTTTTGTTAGTCCCGGGTTCACCCTTCTAGGCTCCATGCAGCACAGCTCGGCCCCTTCATCCGCCACTGTCCGTGGTGGCCATCGCCCTGCTTCAGACGCTGAATGCCCTGGTACTGGCCCAGAGGGCAGCACACAGGAACCAGCTTACCCTGGTTTGGGGTGGGGCGGCCTGGACTTGGGGTGAGAACTCGGGAGCACACCCACAGGTGTGTGGGCCGGCTTTGAGGGGACCGGCAGACGTCCCTCGATTGAAGAAGGAGATGCGTGGTTTTGTTCTCACTCTGAGACCTCGGACGTGAGCTTAGCCACATGGCTGGAAGGTGACAGCAGACTCAGAATCAGTCTTACCAGCCGATCGGTCAGTCGGTCGGTCGGTATTCCCCGAGAGCCAGCCCCGTGCTACGCAGGTTTTTAGAAACGATTCGCTCACTTCATCTTCCTCCACCTTTGGAGGCAAAATTAATTGTCATGTTTGGGTGGGGGCAGTAGGTCTACCTAAGGTCACAGAGTTAGGAGCTGGAGGAGAACCAGACCTCTGAGTACTGCCTGTCCCCTACAGATCGCGTGGATGTTGCGTGGAGCTGCCATCACGATTAATTTCCTTTGAATTTTCCTAGTGCATATGGTTCAATCCACGTGACTTAGAAACAAATGGTGCGACTCTGCTCGCCTGTAGAATTTAACCATGAGCAAATGGTTAAATGCCTTAGTTCATCGTGTCTAAGACCAAGTCAGGATGTATCCCGAAATCAGTGACATCATAACTTAAATTGGCAGTATTTTTTCTCTCTTAGGGGTGCCTGAGCTGATAGTGGTGTCTTCGTCAGTGCTGGCATAGGTGCAGGTTCACATGCAGGCCTTCTCCATAACCTGTAGGAAGCTGCGGAGCCTCGTCCAAAGCAGTAGTTGCTCATGTGTGCGCACACCAGCCGCACTGGACACTGCAGTGGTTGAACCCTGTGACCTGCTTGTACCAATGTTTCATTCATGGCCACTTAAGGAGTCTCTGCCTTGTTTCGGGAATGCATAAACTTAGGATTGCACTGAAGTCAAAGCTAGTACCTGTAAGCAATGAATTTGATATTTTATTCAAATAAATATATCCTTTTTCTTTACTAGGAAGAAAACGCTCGAAAAAGAATCCTGTGTCCTTTAGATCCGAAACAGTAAGTACGGGGTAGATAAGGGGTTTTTCTGTGCCGGAAACAGTAATTGTCACAAGTCTTACCTTAAATAATTTTCTCTTCAAATGTAGCACAGTCTACGAAGATCAATTAGCAAAGCATTTGAGGAAATGTAACTCAAGAGAGAAGCCAAAACCTGTAAGTAGCTGATCAGTATAACTGAATGGTGACCGTGTGCTGGGTGATGTTTTACAGACTCAGTAGATTACAGATGTGAGCATTTAACTCTCGTCTCCGAGGCTTGAATGCGGTTACTGCATTTGCATGTGTGAAGGCCAGCACTGTATCCGACAGAGTCCTCGTTCAGATAATAGAATTTTATGCAACCAGAGTGTAGTTCAGAGAATAATTTCACAATGTGTTTATTCAAAAATATTTCCTTAGTGTCTCCTAGGGTTATTCCAATTAAATTGATCCCAAGGGGCTTATTTGAAACTGGTAAGCTGTAAAGAACGGGTATCGTAATAAGGTCAACAGAAGGAGTGCACATGTGATAACACACACTTATCTAAAAATTAAAATTAAGCCCAAGAGACCAAGAAAGGCTTCCCAGAGAGAATGATTATCTATTTTCATTAGTATTTTAGGTGGAAGAAATCAGACCTAAACTGTTGTGACATCGGTATCTTACCTCTGGTGTTGGTCATGCTTCCTGTCTGATCAGCAGCCACGGGTATAGTTGATGCTTTGTTTTTGCTTTAACGCCGTGAACAGAACTGACACAGCCCTCAGTCTGTGCTGTAGTGAGGTTAAAACTCTTCATAGAAAATTACTGATGAATTTCTCTAGACGACAGATGTTCACAGAACCACTCACTAGGATAGAAGATCCGTGAACACAGAGGTCCTTGTTCTGTTCTCTCCTGTGGTGAATCCTCAGCACCCAAAGCTAATGAAGGGCCACAGTAGGTGCTCAGTAACTGTAATGAAGGACCATAGTAGGTGCTCAGTGACTTTGTAATGAATGACCACACTAGGTGCTCAGTGGCTGTGTAATGAATGACCACAGTAGGTGCTCAGTAACTGTAATGAATGACCACACTAGGTGCTCTGTAACTGTGTAATGAATGACCACAGTAGGTGCTCAGTAACTGTAATGAATGACCACACTAGGTGCTCTGTAACTGTGTAATGAATGACCACAGTAGGTGCTCAGTAACTGTAATGAATGACCACACTAGGTGCTCTGTAACTGTGTAATGAATGACCACAGTAGGTGCTCAGTAACTGTAATGAATGACCACACTAGGTGCTCAGTAACTGTAATGAATGACCACACTAGGTGCTCTGTAACTATGTAATGAATGACCACACTAGGTGCTCAGTAACGTGTAATGAATGACCACAGTAGGTGCTCTGTAACTGTGTAATGAATGACCACAGTAGGTGCTCAGTAACTGTAATGAATGAATGGGTCGAAGGGAGGCACAGACGGGGAGAAGGGAAGGATCAGTTTTTCAGTTCAGTTTCTGTGAGCTCTTCACAATAACAGTATTTTTATGGTTTTGTTTTGGTTAAGGACTTCTTTATTCAAGATATTAACGCAGGCCTAAAAGACGAAACAGAAATACCTGAACAGTTAGTAAGTACTTGACTTTTTACTTTTAAACAGCATTTATAAGCTGTCTCCACGTTGAATAAGCTGCGTTCCAATTTTTGTTTGGAATAAGTTAATTTTTTAAAATTTAGAATGCATTTTCCTTTAGAATTGATATTCTTAGTGATCAGCTCACCCCTCATTTTTTTGTATGTAGGTTCCAATTTCTTCTCTCCCTGAAGAGCAGTTGGAAATTTTAATTAAGAAGTTGAAAAAAGCAAGTGAGGGTAAGTCTGCCTAAAGTTGTGAGTTCAAGACTTTTAAGAACAGTTAGGTGGTACGTGAACCGGCACCAGTGTGGTTGAAGGGTGTTCCTACCATTGTCCAGAGCCCTGTGGTTTCAGGTTTGGTTGCTTAAGCTCTTGTGCTTACATTTGGCACAGGTTTGAACTCTACACTTAAAGATCAAATTATGTCCCATCCAGCATTGCATGATGCCCTTAATGACCCTAACAATGGTGACTCTGCAACCAAACACCTGAAGCAGCAGGTATGTGTAGGCCACGCTGATCCTGAACACGGCCTCTGGTCTGTCAGAAGCTAACATTCCGTTCCTTCTAAACGTAGCTACTAATGAGCTTCCACTCAGTGTGCCTTTCAGGGACAGAGCCCTTCCCTTCTAATAAGTATGTGTAAACGTCTACTAAAATGTTCGGCCTGACTATGGGTCTGAGTACTGCGTGTTAAATATTTAAAAACAAAGCAAGAGAAAAAAATTTAAAGCCACAGACATCTTCCTTGTGACCATGCCGCCTTCTGTAGACATTACCTTCTGCTATTTTTCCCACTTGAGCCAGATGTGTTTGCTCTCGTTTATAAAATAATCTCGTGAGGTTTGCAGGCTTCTATTTTAGGTAACATTGAGAAATTAAAGTTACTTGGTCCAAGAAGATGCTTTGTTGAGTTTGGAGCAGGAAAGGGGAAATTATCTCACTGGGTTGATATTGCCTTAAAAGATGCCGAAGAAGTTCACTTCATCCTCGTAGAGAAGGTGCCCACGAGGTTCAAGGTGAGCGACCACGGCCACACACTGTGCCCAGATGGGCTTGCACTTCCTCGTAGACCAGAGGCATGTCTCTTAATGAAAGGGGATTTTGCTCTGAATTTTGAAAACAAATAGAACTTGTTTATTTTCATAAAGCTTTTTCTTAAACATAGAAAAGCCATGGTTATAATAATGTTCTGTTTGTGCAGGTAGATGGCAAACACAGAAAGAAAAATTCAGTGTTTCAAAGACTTCAGATCGACATTCAACACCTGTGTTTGAGTGAGTTGCGTAACTTTCCGTTGTCTGCCATAAATCATAGACGTTTCCAACTCGGGTTGCTTGGAAGTCCAGCCATGCATGACACACGTGAGGCGCGAGGGCGAGGCCTGGTCAGGCAGCTGCCACGCTGCTCGCTCACAGCCGCCTATGCTCCTCACCCAGCCGCTGCGTCTTTGAGCCTCATTCCTAAATCACCAAGTGCGAATGTTTCGTTTGAGTCTCTCTCAGCCCTAAAATTCAAAGACTCTGCTTAGTTCTCTGTTTGGGGAGGCACCGTAAGGCCTTATCCCACGAGGGGCTGACTTAGTTCTCCTCTCCTTTTATGTCAGACAGGATTCCCGTGCTGAGCAGGGAGAGGCTGCCTGTGGTTGGAATCGGAAAGCACCTGTGTGGCGCGGCGACAGGTAAGCCCGCACACCCATCACGTCTCAATGCTCTCGAGGTCCTAGCGCATGGCCCCGCCATTTCAGGGGTGTCTCCGTGTTCCCGTCACGTGGTCACAGCTTGGTGGTCTGCACGGGAGCACTGCCCGTAGGAGAGCAGACAGGGCCTCCTGCTCAGCTGCTCATGGCCCCGTGTGAGATCAGATACAGGGCGCTCCTGCTCCCCGTCTTGAATGGTGTGCTTCTCCTCGGTGGCTCTTCCTTCCTGGTTCTCCCTCTGCGTCTTCCCTCGATCTCTCCTTTCAGGACTGGCACCTCCGCCAGCCTACACGGACGCCTGGCCTCTTCATTTCTTTCTTCGGCTTTTCTTGAGGTGGAAACCTCCGTGGCTTGTAAGTGTAGGGAGATGAGTTTGCTCCGTGCGAGGCATTTCCTCAGCCAGGGCAGGAGACCTGAAGTCAGTCCCAGGATTTGGACTGAAAGATTTTGCAAACTAGACCTTAAGCTTCGGACAGTTTTATGGGGAAGTAGACTTTATGCAGAATAAATCATTCAAGAAAGTGAGACGATAGTGAGAAAGGAGCAAATACGAACAAAGCTGACCATTCAGAAGAGAATGATCACTGGTGGGAAGCCAAGCAGGTTGGCTGCTTTTGGTTTGGGGTTTTAGAAGCCATAGTGCTCCCTCGAAGTGAAAGGACTCGTGGGGAAGACGCTGCCCTGGGGCCGTGGTTGTGTTTGCAGATCTGGCGTTACGCTGTCTGGTTGAAACGTACGGTGCCAGGCGTGAGGAGGGGAATGAAGAGCCTTCAGCCAAACGGATAAAGAACAATAAGGCAGACAAAGACCTGGGCGCTGCGGCCGAGGTCGGAGGTGAAGGGCACGTGGCGGAGGAGTGGAGCCCTGTGGCTGGCATTGTGGTCGCGCTGTGCTGTCACCACAGGTGCGATTGGAGACACTATGTGGGCAAAGACTATTTCAGGGCCCGGGGCCTGGGAGCCCTGGAGTTCCACTATTTCCAGCGCATGAGTAGCTGGGCGACGTGTGGGAGGCGGACAGCTGCTCTGGAGGCCTCCAGTGTCCCCAGGACAAGAGATGACGAGAGCGAGGACGGCGAGGAGCATGATGGCGGGGGACACAGAGGCCCTGAGGACCGCGCCGGGACTTTGCCCGGGTAAGTGACGGGGAACTGGACAGCTCTGGGGCGGGACTGTCCATCATCTCTGTTCCCAGACGAATGCTGCCGAAGTTCATTCATGAACATGTGTGTGGCCGTCAGCTCAAAGACTCACGTCTGCACTGTGGTCATAAGCACAGCGTGTCTGGGAAGCATGGGACACAGCGCCCAGGGTCTGGCAGCTCACCGGCGGCTTCCAGTACACAGGAGCCATAAAAGAGCTTGTTGTAAACTGACAAACGTGAGCGTTGCTCTGTGTGTTCTTTGCTGTAGGTTTCTCCCTGCGGAGGAGAAGGAGAGGCTGGGGCGCCTGTGTAAGCTGCTGATTGACCAGGGCCGCCTGGAGTACCTGCAGCGGCGGGGCTTCCGGGCCGCGCTGCAGCGCTACGCCGACCCGGGGGTGTCCCTGGAGAACGTGCTGCTCACGGCCTTACCCGCGCAGGCTCCGCCAGCAGACGCGACTGCTTGACGGAGAAGAAACTGAACACCATCTGTCTTCCACCAAAAAACAAGGCCTTCTACATTGTATTTTTATATTCACAAAAATATCATTTATAGCAGGTAATGCGAACTTTAAAAAAACGTTGTGCCTCATTGAACTTTGGTACTAGCTTTGTTTTTTACTTGAGAAGAGTCCAGGCTTGAGAGAATTTACCAAAGTCACTTCAGCAGGCACCTGGGTCCCGTCAGCCGTCGGGGTCTGTAGAGGCGGGGGGCGTGGTCGCACAGTCGGCTGCGGCATCTGAAACACACAACAGGTCGCCATGGGACTAGCACAGTCACTTTCTAGGTACATGAATTTTGGAATTCATTGTCCCTTGGTTTTATTTAGTCCTTTTTATTTCTCAAGTTCAAGGCGTAATAATCAGTTGTCAGTTTCTAACGGGGCAGCCTGCGCATTGGCTTCTGTGTGGGTTTTCCTTTCCAAGCAGATCTGGAAAGAATAGTCAGTTTGCTTTTTTCCTTTGCAAACAGATCCAGAGCTATTCACAATCAACCAATAAATTCACCTTCAGATTTCCAGGGTCAGATCTGCGTTTATATATTCTCAGAATTTGTCCAAGCAAACTCCAAAACCGAAGCGATGTTTTCCAGGGGAAGAAAAAACTATTTCGTTCTATTGGGTATTATACAGTTAGAACTTCCAAAAAGACACTGAGAAGCCCACTTCACAAATTAAGTCGAAATTTGCAAATAACTTCTGAAGTTAATTATCTCACTTCTCTTAACAGGCTACTTGTACATGTATAAATACAAATATAAGTGTGTTCTCTCTTGTTTGGGAAAAGAATTTGGAATGTAGTGAAAATTAGGTAGTGAAACCAGACACCTCACACTGATGCCTCAGTTACCTCGTAAAGAGTTTCTATGCACAGCAATATTAAACCAGTCACATGGCGAGACTGGGATTTTCCACATCGCATCCTTGAGTGATTCTGCCTTTATTTGTAAACAGATGTGTTAATCATTGGTACGTTTGCCAAGACAAAGATTCAGAATTACTAGTTTTGGATTAATGATACTCTTAGGAAACTTTTTTATAGGTCTGTGGTTACATGAATTGTAAATGAAACAGCGTATTTTTAATTCCTGACTTTTCTATTTTAGTTTAATCTCATGTTTTGTGAAACTGCGTGGGTTCAAATCCCAAGCCTACCACCTCTCGGCTGTGTGACCTTGGGCAAGCTACCTAATCTCTTTGTGCCTCAATTTCCTCTTAAAATGGGGGTGACGACAATAATAAAGCCTACCTCGCAAGGTTGTTGTGAACATCAGATGAGATTATGAATGTAAAATGCTTAGAATAGTCGGAGCACAGAGTAAGTACTCAATGAATACTAACTGTTATAAATAGTGCTAGTTCATGAATCTCATCATTTTAATAAATAATAAGCAGACTTGGTTGTATTGACTGTTTAAGTTAAAATCTTTTTCTCTTGTTATAAGTTGTATGCAAAATATTATTAAAGTAAGGTAGTTTGATTCTATTTTAAGTGAGTTACTCATGTGCCCCCCCATTCAAGGAAATATAAATGAAGATAATACATCCTATATAATAAGAGAGGAATATGCTAATTAGCCATTATGCCCTGAGGCATAACGACCAAGCACATCACGACCAGATCATGGATCAGCAGGAGGGTGGGCCAGCGAGGTACAAGTGGGTGCAGAGAGCTACAGGAGGGGGCAGGGCAGCAAGCCAGGAGGGGGGTGCAAGGGGGAGGGGGGAGCTACAGTAGGGCGGCAGTGAGCTACTGGCGTACAGATTCATGCGCAGGGCTACTAGTCATTCAGTAATTAACCTGATACACTGGGTCAGACGATGCTCATTTACGTCACACCATCCGTTTTGTACCATTCAACACCTCATGCCCAGAAATAAGTGATTATGCTATAGGAGGCACAATCACTTGTTTCATAAAACATTTACACACACACGAGAATCACCGACACAGTCTTGTGGTCCATTTACATTTCCGACACGGGTACCTAGTTCTCTATGGGAAGTAACGATTGCCCTTCAGCATGCCAGCCGTAGGCCAATCGCAGCTTTCCCCCACCCTGTTCATTGCCCTTAGCATCCTGACCGACATGTGGGACGTGCCCCTAGCTGCTCCTCACCTGCGGAACCTGCAGGTTCAGCTGGTGGATGTTCCTCTCCCATAGATGCTTCTCTCCCTCTGCCTTCCTCTTGCTCTAAAATCAATAAAAACATGTTTTAAAAAGATAGAAGAAATCCACAAAGGAGTTCATGAACGTAAGCACTCCTCCACCAGAAGGAATACGGAACCTGCGTGAAGCACCAGTCGCATACCTGCTTGTCTCCGGGACTCCTGGATGTAGGTGCGCATGAACTGGAGGCCGAATAATTCCTGCTTCTCCTCCTCCTCGGTGCTCTCAGGGGCGGGAAGGGTCACTTCCAGTCTCAGCGGGTTGTCTCTGAAGTTGACAAACCTAGCAGAGTGCCAGAAACCAGGGCTTATAGGTGCCGTGGGAGTGTGCACTTCCCTGGAGACATAGCAACGATGATAGTATAAGCCAGCGGTTGCCAGCCTTTCGGACCTCCTGGACCCCCAGTGGTCCACGGACCACCGCTTGGCGACCGCTGTTCTAAACAACTCATTCTAGCTGGTCCCAATGACTGAGCATCTTGGTGAGATGTGACATAGCCCAAGAATCTCTACGTTTCTTTCTTGAAGAAAAAAATACTACTTATTTCCAGAGCTCGTAAAAGTAACTGCTAGTCCTGACGAGTGTGACTCGGTTGGGCGACCTTCAGTGCACTTCAGTGCAGGAAAGGTCACGGGTTCGATTGGTCAGGGCTCATGTCCAGAGTGAGGACTCCTCCCAGTAGAGGGCGTGCAGGAGGCAGCTGATGGATGTTTCTCTCATCAATCTTTCTCTCTTCTTTCCCTCTCCCTCTCTAAGATCAATAAAAACATTTTAAAATAAATAAAAGCAAGCAACTGTTAGCAGCACGGATTTAATGTGGAGCAGTGGGACTTCCCAGGGCATTGCTAATGCATCTCAAACACACAGAGGCTCCTCAACCTGACAATGGGGTTATGTCCCGACAGACCCACTGTAACTTGAAAGTCAGCCGAAAATGCATGTAATTCCCCGAAGCTACTGCACAGGATAGCTTCACCTGGCCTACCTGACACATGCTCAGAACACTCCCATTCGCCTGCACTTGAGCCAGGCCATCTAACAGAAAGCCTGCTTTATCTGTACAATGAACGCAATAAACTTAATATGCGTATTTTATAGACTTGCTTGTGTCTTTTTATCACCGTAACTTCACCATCTGGAACAGACCTTGGTAGTCACTGCACAAGTGAATGAATGAATGAATGAATGGTTTTGTTACAGACGTGGGATTTGGCATGAATTCTCATGTCTTATGTTCACTGCCAAGAAGTTAAATTTTGGGAGGAAGATACCAAAGGAGTTTTAATAGTAATGAACTTAGGCAATTTCATGAAAACGTCACCAACAGAGGGCATTCCTTGCCTGGCCGCGTGCTCAGTGGTTGAGCATTGACCCGGAACCAAGAGATCTTGGTTCAATTCCGGGTCAGGGCACATGCCTGGGTTGTGGGCTTGCTCCCCAGAATGGGGCGTGCAGGAGGCAGCCGATTGATGATGTTTCTCATCGATGTTACTCTCTCTCCCTCTTCCTTCCTCTCTCTTTAAAAGTCAATAAAACATATTAAAAAATATAGGGCATTCCTTGATGCTGATAAATCCCAGCACGGCTTTAGTCTTATGGACTCGGTATTATATGCATCCGATTGGTAAATTAGAGTTTCAAAGTGGGACACGTCTTTGAAATGCGTGTACTCATCTGAAGGAGAACTCGGATGTGTAGTGACTCCTCTGTGTGGCTGTGTTCCGCAGCCGGAAGGAGCGTGCCAGTCTGGTGTGGAGAACCCGTACCTCAGGCTGGGCATCTCGCCCATGCACGCCGGGATGTCTTGCAGTTTGTTGTTGCAGAGAACGAGCGTGCCCAGGTTTTTCAAGCTGCTGATGGACTCGGGCAAGCAGGCGATTTCATTCCGCTGCAGCCACAACGTGTGCAGACTCTGCATCCTGAAGAATTAAGAGGTTTCTGCGATGAGTCCATCACACACAATATAGACACCCTGGTTCTTAGGAACTTAACAAAGAAATGTCACCTTCGGTAGCATCTCTGCTAGCCAGCATACCTATTGAGTGAACTCACCTCCCCTCACCTGCTTATAAGGGAACGGCATTGGGGAGTTCATCCCTACGGGGCAGCGTCATGGTGCAGAAGTGGAAATGAGATCAGTGTATTCTAGACTTCTTCACTGCTCTCATAGAATTTCTTAAAGAAGGGCTGCTGTAAATGGGATCGAATCCGAATCAGCAAAAATCGGAAATTACTAATGTGCTCAGCAGGCAAAGGAAGTGTGCATGTGGTTAACACCATAGACTCTGGGGGCAGGCGGCCTGGGTTCAAGTCCCGGATCACACACGTACTGTGACCTTGAGCAGTCCGGCTTCCTCGTCCACTCCTAAAGTGCACAGAAGTGTGTGGCATGCACCACACAATGTTGTCACCATTGCGGCATGTTCTCGTCACATTGCTATTTTACTTTCTTTTCTTTTTTTGGAGTAAATGAAACTCTTCTATTAAATGGTAGCACAGTTAGAACTAGATGTATCTACTGTGCCTATGCTTGGGGTCCCCTTCATTTTATTTGTTATTTCTTATCCTAGGTTACTTCATCACGCCCATTGGTAGCATTAAAAGTTGTTTGCTTGCCTGGTCGGTGTGGCTCAGTGGTTGAGCATCGACCTATGAACCAGGAGGTCACTGATCAATGCCCGGTCAGGGCACATGCCCAGGTTTTCTGATCAATGCCCGGTCAGGGCGTGCAGGAGGCAGCCGATCCGTGACTCTCTCTCCTCACTGATGTTTCTCTCTCTCTCCCCCTCCTTCCTCCCTGAACTCAGTGTGGAGTAGAAGCTGTTTGCCTTACCTCTCTATGGCATCGGGGAGCTGCTCGAGTTGGTTGCTCCCCAGGTCCAGCCACTCGAGGGCGGGCATGCTCAGCACGGCGGCGGGGATGGCGGTGAAGCTGTTCATGCTCAGGTCCAGGTGGGTGAGCTTCGTCAGGCGGCCGAGCTGAGGAGGCAAGCGAGGGTCCCAAAATGAAGGAACGAGCTGGACACGCCCCTGGCGAGGGAGCTCCGTTACAGCGAGGAAAGCTCCCGTAGGCGTGGGCTCGATGTCCTCATCGTGGAAATCAAAGGAAACCTAAGTGACCTCCAGCATGAAGCGCTCTCCCACGGAAGCTCATCTACTCCCAGGAAAGTCTCCCCCGAAGAGACCCAGTCCCAGGCCTCGCAGACCTGCCGGGAGGGACTTCTTTCCTTTCTCACAGTAAACATGCTTTCCTTTCGTCCAGGAGCGGAGATTGGTAGGGAAAAGCTCATATTCAAAATTATCTTTAATGGGACCCTCTTCTCTGTGCCGATGCTCTACATATGGTACCTCAGGCATAGAATTTACCGTTTAGTCATTCCACATTTTTATTTATTTATTTTTAAAAATATTTTTATAGATTTCAGAGAGGAAGGGAGAGGAGAGAGAAATAGAAACATCAATGATGAGAGAGAATCATGGATCAGCTGCCTCCTGCACGCCCCTCACCGGGTATCGAGCCTGCAACCCGGGCCTGTGCCCTGCCTGGGAATCGAACCAAGACCTCCTGGTTCATGGGTCGACGCTCAACCACTGAGCCACTCCAACCAGGCAAGCAAACAACTTGTAATGCTACCAACAGGCGTGAAGTCCTCTAGGATAAGAAATGTTCCATTAGTAATGGGTGTTTCTCCAGCTTTCAAGTTTAAGCCATGAATAAAACACTTCATCAAAATCTGTCATCAGACTTTTACGATTTTAAACGGCTCAGAACAGAGTATAAAGAAATTGTTTTTACATCAGCATAAATATGTTTGTGTTACCTGGCGGGTGTGGCTCGGTGGTTGAGTGTCAACCTATGAACCAGGAGGTCAGGGTTCGATTCCTGGTCAGGGCACATGTCTGAGTTGCAGGCTCGATCCTCAGTAGGGGGTATGCAGGAGGCAGCCAATCAGTGATTCTCTCTCATCATTGATGTTTCTCTCTCTCTCTTCCTCTCTGAAATAAATAAAAAAATATTTTTAAAAGCAATCTGGGCACTCTATAACAACCACCTAGTTACCAAAGAGTTTTTTCTATCAACACATTGTGCTTCATGATGACGATTCATTCATTCGACACACATTTATTATGTACCTGGGTTGCGGGCACATCCCCAGTAGGGGTGTGCAGGAGGCAGCTGGTCGATGTTTCTGGCCTTCAATGGATCGCAGCCTGGTCAATGAAGGATGTCAGCACTGTGACAATAACAGAAGCATCTTATGCTAAGCGGAGGTTTCTCTTGTTTAAACAATGCCTCTTACTTAAAATAACAGGAAACGGCTTTCACTACATATTTCCTGGAAGAAAATGGGTAGTGTTTCTTTACTAGTGCTGCTTTGAACGATCCTACCACTGAGAGAAGCAAGCCACTAGCAGACGGGCACCGGCGTCGCCGGCACTCTCCCTGACCTCGGGAGGAAGCTCGCAGATGTCTCTGTTGACAGCCAGTTCCAGTTTCTCCAAGCTGGCGCAGTTACTCAGCTCCGGGGGGACCGTCTTGATCTTGTTGTAACTAAGAGTCAGCTCCTGCAGTCTAGTAAGCAGCCCTACGAAAACAGTGCACAGTGAGACCAGGTGGGTGGACAATGTTTCGTTGGGAAGTATTACACATTAAGAGCTTGCCAGGCCCGGCCGGTGTGGCTCAGTGTTGAGCGTCGACCTATGAACCAGGAGGTCACGGTTCAATTCCCGGTCAGGGCACATGCCCAGGTTGCGGGCTTGATCCCCAGTGGGGGGCGTGCAGGAGGCAGCCGATCCATGATTCTCTCTCATCATTAATGTTTCTATCTCCCTCTTCCTTCCTCTCTGAAATAAACAAAAACATAATTAAAAAAAAAGAACTTGCCAGTTTTATGTTGATATATTCACAGTTGACAAGTTGTTAACTTTTCCCAGATAAGGGGCTGGTGTACCAGTGCTTCAGGCAAAAACACATTTTTTTCATCCCGTTTTATCTATACTATATCCTGACCGATTTTCACTTTGGGGATTTCCTTTCTCCTTTAAGTGATCTTTCTTTTTTTTTTAAAAAAAATGTATTTTTATTGATTTCAGAGAGGAAAGGAGAGGGAAAGATAGAAACATCATTGATGAGAGAGAATCATGGATAGGCTGCTTCCTGCACGACCCCTAATGGGGATCAAGCCTGCGACCCAGGCATGTGCCCTTGACCAGAATCAAACCCGGGACCCTTTAATCCACAGGCTGACACTCTATCCACTGAGCCAAACTGGCTAGGGCTAAGTGATCTTTCTAATTTCCTTTCTTCCCTTCACACTCTCCCCTTCGAGGAGGAATTACTGAATCAAAAATATTGGTTTTAGAATCTATACAATTACATTTCTGAAGAGACTTTTCTGCATGGATCTCTCCTCCTGAATCACCTCAGTAAACCCAGGACCGTGGATCCCCCCAGAACATCGATGTAGATCAGATGTTTAAAATTTTCTCAAGACTCAGGGCTATGGAATGATGAGATCTTTATTCTATGTATCAAACAAAAAACCGGTTTTATTTTTAATGTATGATTTTTTATTTCAGAGGGAGAGAAACGTTGATTTGTTGGCCCATTTATCTATGCACTCATTCAGGGATCAAACCCGCAACCTTGGCGTATCAGGATGATGCTCTAACCAACTGAGCTACCCGGCCGCGGGCCTCAAACAAAAATCCAATGAAAAGCACACCTGCGGGTGGATAAGACAGCACGGGGATAAAAGCAGTTCCTTACCTATCCCTCGGGGTATCTCTGAAATCGTGTTTCGAGATAAATCTAACACAATGAGGTTCTGGAATCTTCCGATGAACTCAGGGATTTTCAACAAACCAGTTCTGTGTAGCTGCCACTCCTGTAGCTGATTCAGTTTCAGGAGAGAAGAAGGAAGGGTCTGAGTCGAGAGAAAGGAAAGACAGGATGTTACTTCCATCACTCCGTGTCCTGCCGCACGGAAGTGGGGTCGTAGAGGAATTGTTGCATCTGTGAAAGAACCTTGGAAAGTGGGTGATCTTTCCAGTGCTTTATGTTACTCACTTTTGGGGGGCTGTGTGTGTGCCTGTGAGTATATATGAGAGTCGGTGGACCTGATAGCAATAATATCTATTTCCATTTTGTGAAGTTTTAACTGAGTTATTTGCTTCAGAAACGCTATGTGATTTTCATTAGGCAGATGGTCATCCTTTATTTTTTTAAAAATGAGAAATAACTTCTGAAAAGGATTAGAAGAAGAAATACTACAAATGATTTAAGTTTACGCAGAGTAGAAGCAAATTGAGTTTTTGCAGACACACACACACAAAAACTATGACATTATATTTCTTTTCAGCTGTTCATTCCTTTGGGCATGTTATTAAAATTAGAATTTTTAAACTAATTCCAGTCTTAATGACACAGTGTCAGAATCATCCTCCTGCGAAAAGCAGAATGTGGACAAACCACCGAGCATTACCTGCCACGCTTACCTTCCACTCCTCCTGCTCTATCTTCAAAATAACTCTGCCATTTTCCCTGGTGACCTTTTCCTTCAGCCTCGTCAAGGTGACCCGCTCCTCCCAGATCCGCACGAGCCTGGGAGACAGGGAGTCCCTTAGCTCACAGGCCAGGACAGAGGCCACACTCACCTTCCTATTCAACTGGGCAGAGCAGACACGACACTGGGTGTGAGCCAGAGCATTCACTTTTCTATCAAGGAGGGCCCTTCAAAAACAACTGATCAGCAGTGTCTGGAGAGCAAACAAGAACTTATTTTGTAAGGATGTTAAATATGATCAGTATCACAAATGCTTTGTTTTTACGTCTTTGAAAAGTATCGTAACTCCCCATGAATTTGTTCTAGCGGCTTTATGGAGACATAGCTTAGTGCCATAAACCGAACCCTTTTACAGTGCAACTTGGCGGTTTGGGTATATGCACAGAGCTGTGCAACCATCTAATCCAAAACCGAAGCATCATCAGAGAATGGAGGTTTAAAACATTTGAATATTTCCTTGTCAAAATCTCTTGACATCTGGGAGGTAAGATATATTCTTAACAGTTTTGCCTATTAACTGATCTTCAGCAAGGGTTTTATTTTAATGCACAGAAACCCAAATATCTCTAAAAGTGTAATGTTTGCTGTTTGTGTTTGTAAAATATTTCTGTAGAGTCTGTATATTTTCATCTGCGACTTGCCTAAGATTTAACTAATCAGCTAACAAGGGAATGTCGGTGTGTGTGGCCTTCTAGACTGAACAGCTGAGCTCCCGATTGACAATGAAAGTGTTTTAAGATTAAAATTAAGAGAAGATTACATTTTGCAAATTCCAAGTAAAGATTCTAGCTAGAACTAAAAACTAATTTTGGTCTAGGTGTGAAAAAAAGATAGGCATTTCCCCTAAGTTTATCAAATGGTATCTGATTTCTTTTCCCCTAAAGATGGTCAGAAACCTCTAATATGGCATATAGTAATTATATCTGTTAGCGTAAGTGTTGTCTCTAACTCCTGGGCAGAATCTGGGGGTGGTTTATCCTTAGCGCCCCCTGGTGCTCAGGCCAGGTGAAGGTCAGTTTGGTGCATGCATGAATGAATGTCTCCAGGGGCTGACCTAAGTAAATCCAGAGAGGAGTCTAGACGTAACCTTAGTGATGGAGGAGGAGTGTGTAACAACTTTTAGAATTTACATTTGACGAACATAGTCCTCCCTCCCCATCACAATCTAGTCATGAAGCTGAAAAAGAAGACACGGCAGGGGAAAACACTAGTAATTCACACTCCTTACTCTTGCACAGAGAGAACTCAGAGCTGCTGCAATAAATGATTCTTGACGAGACCCAGGTCATAGGTGAAATTCAAGAGTTTAAACCACGCCATGATGCCTGGCCACTGTTTTAAAAACGAGTAGGATTTATTACGAGTGCGGTAAAGTCAACTTGATCAGAAGTGTGTACTCTAAACAAGGGGTTTGTTTCATCAGAGTAGCTCCCTAGACAAAGCCAACCTAGGGAAGTGGGAGACCTGGGGTCGAGGTAATGCACAGGGCGTCGGACTGCGTGAGTGTGAATACCGGTTCCACACTTGTTAGCAACGTGATCTTTGACAAGGGACTGAGGCCTGTCCCTTGGGTTTCCCATCTTGAAAACGGAGAAAATAATAGGACCCATGGGTGACAGCGACTGCTTATCGTCCCCAGTATCCGTTACCCTCTTCTTCCTCAGTAACAGATCCTCTAAATGTAAGTGGGCACAGATGTCATTGGGCCATCCCCCCTTGCAGCCAGATACGCGTCATGGGAAGCCTTGGCCCATGGGATGCTGGCTGGAGCAGGGAGTGCATTTGCCCGCTGGCCGGAGTCCAATCCCCTGGCTGCAGTTGGTGTTTCTATTTGGGGCCTTGGGGTGACTGCAGGAATGAAAGCCACGCACAGTTGAGCAACAAGGTAGACGCCGGAGATGTGACTCAGTGGCTGCTCTTCCAGCCCTGGGCCCCTTCACCCGGAAAGTGGACATTCTGGTTTAAGGCACTAGGATGCCGGTTTTCTCCTCAGAGGAGGCTGTGTTTCAGCACGTTGAGAGGATCACATGAGGTGGTGCAAATACACAGTTCACAGCGTACCTAGTAAGCAGTGGGTGCACAGCGAGGGCTGCCAGCCTCATCACTGTCAGCAGCATCGTTATCTCTCCTGGCTTTGGTTGGGAGAATGGCCCCTCCCCAGGCTTTTAGGGACAGTTATCTGACACCTGTAGTTGCTTATCAATAATCTTTTCCTCCTCTTCTTTGCCGGGAGAATACCTGTTATTTTCAACCGTCTACACTTCCCCCAAGTAACCCGGGTATACCAGTAAGCCCTAATTTGTCTGAATCAATCATACAATCCCATTTCCGAGAAGGTAACTGGATGAGGGGTGTACACATAACCCAATTCTGGCCAATAAAGAAATAGAAATACTTTCTATTCTTCCCTTCTCTTCTCTGGTGCCTGGCTCTGAGGCCTGGGGGTGTAGTCATCCTGTGACATTTCGGGGAGCTCAGCGGAGATGGGCAGTGGAAGGTGACAAGAGAAGCTGACTCTACAAGGCTGTTGGCGTTTTGCAAGTGCCTCATCTCGGGACTTTCTTCCCGCTTAGCCATTTTCGGTTGCATTTTCTGTTATTTTCTAACTAACACAAGACCGTGTAATGCTTAGAAAGAGAACTGAGGAGTGGAGCTATGGGGAATCAGTGAGGAAAAGGGCTCTTCTTGCAAGAATAGCAGAGCACCGGAGACATTCAGTGGGGAAAGCAGGCAGATACCAAGAAGGCAGATGAGAACCAAACGACTTAAATATAGCCAAATCTAGGAGTCAGGGGATTCTTGGAGGCCCTGGCTGGAGCTCACTGCTATTGAAATAGGTGAGAGTCTACAGAGCCTTCTGCCAGATGTTGTTTTATTTCTTAAAATATATTTTCATTGATTTCAGAGAGGAAGGGAGAGGGAGAGAAAGAGAGAAACAGCTCTCATCATGATGAGAAGGTCATTGATCGGCTGCCTCCTGCACGCCCCACCCTGGGGATCCAGCCCTCAACCTAAGCATATGCCCTGACGGGGAATCAAACCGTGACCTGCTGGTTCATAGATCAACACCCAACCACTGAGCCCCGCTGGCCAGGCCAGATGTTGCTTTAGACCCTAGGGGATATGGTGTTGAGCAAATAATCACTGACAAGTAGACTAAATGGTACTCATCAAACTTTGGTGAATGTTGAGCAGAGTCCTCTGGGGACCCAGGAGAACTAGGGTTCTCACAGAGAGACTTTGTGTTTTCCGAGCCCCCGTCACACGGCCACTCTTGATTGAGTTGGGTGTCTGCTTTGGGTATGTGTTGAGGTTTCAATAAATAAACATCTCTATCAAATTCAATACTAAGGCCTGTAACAAATGCTCTTTCCTATAAGAATGCCATGAATTTCTGCTCATTCAAAAGAATAAAGGAAGTATAGCCTACTTCTGTTTAAACTCCTTCTCTCGCTTCAGGTCTTCAGTGAGTATCTGTATCCTCTTCTCCCACACTTCCTTCACGGCGTTGACAGCCCCGGCGCAAACCCCGTTCCCTGACATGGTTTCTCCACATTGTCGCAGAGTCCCCAGCTTCCTTAGGTTTAAATAGCGGGATCACAGGTGTGTCTCAGAAGGGACCTAATTGGACCAGAGGAGGAAAGAAATGCATTTCAGAATGCTCACTGAGTACATCGTGATCAAATAGCTTATATATATAGTTAAATATATTTTTTATTGATCTCAGAGAGGAAGGGAGAGGGAGAGAGAGAGAGAGAGAGAGAGAGAGAGAGAGAGAGAGAGAGAGAGAGAAATATCAATGATGAGAGAGAATCATTGATAGGCTGCCTCCTGTATGCCCCCTACCAGGGATGAAGCCTGCAACCCAGGCATGTGCCCTTGACTGGAATCGAACCCGGGACCCTTCACTTTGCCGGCCGACTCTCTATCCACTGAGCCAAACCAGCTAGGGCTGCTTTTCATTATTAATTGCCTCTACATTATTGATTTCTTTAAAGGAGAAGTATGCAGTATGTGTGGTAAGAGAGACCAAGACAGACAAATAATTGATAACTAATTGCCAATATGCAGAAAACCCTAAGGAGAGGGTCCCTGTTTCTAAGCAGCGCCCGCAGAACCCACACAGGGAGCTTGCGGAATCTTGTGCCATTTAGAAACCTTGGGATACAAATGCTTAGAATCCCACCACCCAGCTGTGTCACAGTCAACCTGCAAGTTGTCTCAGAGGTGAGCCAGTCCGAAGTATTTGCCTATCAGACAACAAAGTATTTATTAAAATCCCAAGTATCTACATGTAAATGTGCGTTTTACTAGACTTGCATGGGCTCATTCATTTCCTCATCTGGTTATCCCCTGACAGGCCAGCGTGGTGCCTGGCCGGAGGCGAGGACAGCAGTGCCGAGACCGGGAAACTCAGCTTCCCAAAGTCAAAAGGAAAGAAATACAACCTCAAAGCAAACGCTCCTGAACCCTCCAGAGAAGGACAATCACACGAGTGACCAGGAACCCCCAGAGTCGTTTAGATCCAATATCAAGTTCAGTTGTACATTCTGGCCAATACAGACACGGTAAAGGCACCATCAGCAGCAGCAACCTATCTATATGTGAAGGAGGAGAAAAAACATTTTTTAAAGAAGACTTACCATCATCGGTGGCGACAGACGCTGACATGCCCACGCTAGCCGCGATCAGCTGAGGGTATGGCAAGGGGACCGTCTCCAGCGTGGCCCTGAGTGAGTGAACCCTGGGTCAGACTGTCACCGAGTGAGAGGCAATGTCAGCCGAGTTCTAAATTTAGTTCACGGGCAAAGCTGAGAATAGCAGGGACCACGTGGAGCTTCTGAAGCATCAGCAGGTGCTGATGTGAGTGCATTCCCACCACGGCAGGACGCCGTGGGCATCACCGAGCAGCAGGCCTGCCTCCTCCTGCGCTCCTGAGAAAGAGTGTCTGCTGAGAGTCCTTCCGCTTTTCGTGACTTCCACCTTGTCAGTATTTAATGAAATTTTAAATACATATATTTTTACTGATTTCAGAGAGGAAGGGAGAGGGAGAGAGAGAAACATCAGTGATGAGAGAGAATTATCAATCGGCTGCCTCCTGCACGCCCCCAACTGGGGATGGAGCCTGCAACCCAGGCATGTGCCCTTGACTGGAGTCAAACCCGGGACCCTTCAGTCTGCAGGCTGACGCTCTATCCACTGAGCCAAACCGGCTAGGGCTAATATAATTAATATATATGTGTTTATTGATTTCAGAGAGGAAGGGAGAAGGAGAGAGAGATAGAAACATCAATGATGAGAAAGAATCATGGACCACCTGCCTCCAGCACCCCCCACTCTGGGGATGGAGTTCACAACCCGGGCCTGTGCCCCGACCGGGAATGGAACTGTGACCTCCTGGTTCATAGGTCGACGCTCAACCCCGAGCCACGCCGGCCGAGTGATAACGCTGTTCTTCAGAATCTATCTGCGCAGTCTCTTCTGCAAAACCTTTCCTCATTTTCCTTTGCCTCTGACCTCCCTCCAACCTCTTATCTAGTCACCACTTCGGACCCACCTCAGCCATCCTCAGCCTCCGAGACCAGCCAACCCCGTTTTCTGACCTTAACTCCTTATTGCCCAGCAACCGTGAACTCCCAAATTCATCAGAATTATTCCCCGAGGTGGAGGCCCCGTCAGCTGCCTGCCACCCGCCTCTGCGGCCTCCACACCCACCTCTCTCTGGGCTTCTGTTTCCACCGCCAGGATATGGCTTTGGGGGGCGCGGGCTGTTTCTTCCGAGAATCGAGAGTCGAGGAGAGGCCCAGGGCTCCCAGCGTCCCTTACAGATGCAAAACCAGCGTGGCGGCCGCTTCTCTTCCGGGACGCGCCACAGCCTCCCGAGGTGAGTGGGTGACACTAGGACGCCTGGAAGCCGCGGGGCCTTGGAGAGGAGCCTGACCAGGCCCCTGTGGACCCGCAGCCCTGGCGCTGCCCCCAGACCCTCAGGCTGTGCCTCCCTGCAGAACCACTTCCGGGGCGGAGGTGACACTCATCAGGAAGGTGGGCGGCACCTGGCTCACCTCCCAGGCGGCCCCAGGCTGGGCTTGGCGAGCGGCTCTTCCTCTCTTCCTCTGGCTCCGTGGTTGAGCGTTGACCTAGGAACCAGGAGGTCACGGTTCTGTTCCAGTCAAGGGCACATGCCCAGGTTGTGGGCTCCATCCCCAGTGGGGGGCGTGCAGGAGGCCTCTGCTCCCGAGGTTGGCACTCTGGCTGCATTTTTTCAGGAAATTAAGTCCCCAGGTTTTTCCAGCTGGTTGCACCCTTGTGACTCCCGTACAGACTTTACAGCCTTGATCCATGATTCTCTCTCATCATTGATGTTCTATCTCTCTCTCCCTCTCCCTTCCTCTCTGACATCAATAACAAAATTTATACACACACACACACATACTCAGTATAATATTTTTAAGAAATGGGAATGCCTTGCACTTACATATCCATGTTTCTAATATTCACCAGCTTATGAGGGGAACGAGTGCCATAAGTGACTGGCGGTTTGAAAAAATCAGGCCCCTCTGTGACCGTTTGTCCTGCGCTGTCCGAGCAGCACTGGAGCCGAGCGGCCCTTCTAGTCCTGCGCCAGGGACACAGGGGCCACGGCCGGGTCACGTGCCATCGGAAGCCCCTGGTCCGCAGCCTTGAGAGTGTGGTGCCCGGCCCGGGCCTGCTCCCGGTCCCCCTGGAACAGCTAATGTCCCCAATCGCCTGATTTACATGCGTCCCTGCAGGTGGACTTAACTGGGTCGCACCTGCCATCCGCGTCACTCGCCTCTACTCCCGCGGTTGGCACTCTGGCTGCATTTTTCCAGGAAATTAAATCGCTAGGTTTTTCCAGCTGGTTGCACTCTTGTGACTCCCCTACAGACTTTACAGCCTTGATTTTTTTTTAATGTTCTTTTTAAATCACATTTTCCGAACTACTATCCCGAGTAGGACTTCCCTCTCCGTGTGTTTAGAACCGTTTCCCCGTATGTGGAGCATACTCAGGACCTTCTTGCAGGAAACTCCGTGTGAAGCAGAGGTGAAGGGTGCTGCCTCCTCCGCAGGCTGAGACGAGGGTGACCCTTCTTGGACTGTCCCGACTCTCCCCAGATCTAACTAAATCCTGCCCCGCTTGCATCGCTCTGCTGGCTGTCAGGCCGCCCGCAGCCGCCCCACGCCCTGCCTGCTGACACGCCTCGTGGTGCTGAGGAGCAGCCGAGGGAGGGAGGGAAGGCCTCTTGAACAGCTGCAGTTGTGCTCGTCACGCATCTGATGTGTCTGTGGCTCTGGTCTGGGCCGTCTCCAGCGTCCCCTGCTCAGCGAGGGCGAGTGGCCTGCCTTCTCCCCCGGGGCCACCAGCATGTGCGTCGGCGTGTGGCCAGGCCCTGTGCTCGGTCCTGGGGCTGCCTCGCCTCGGGATCGATCCATCTCCGCTGCATTCTGAGCTGGCAGACCTCCAGGCGTGTGTTCCCTTAGATCGGCGGTTCTCAACCTGTGGGACGCCAACCTGTGGGTCGAGACCCCTTTGGGGGTCGAACGACCCTTTCACAGGGGTCGCCTAAGACCATCGGAAAACACATATACAATTACATATTGTTTTTGTGATTAATCACTATGCTTTAATTATTTCAATGTGTACCAATGAAAATACATCCTGTATATCAGATATTTACATGATGATTCATAACAGTAGCAAAATTACAGTTATGAAGTAGCAATGAAAATAATTTTATGGTTGGGGGTCACAACATGAGGAACTGTATTGAAGGGTCGCGGCATTAGGAAGGTTGAGAACCGCTGCCTTAGATGGTGGTGCGTCCGATAACGTAAACAAGCCCTCTGGTCACTTCGATGGGCGAAGGAGAACATGAGCCATGTCAGGTTCGGCACCAACTATTCAGAGTTGGCTGCCCGCTTTGTCCTCAGCCGTCAGCACAGAGGCCCACTCTGGCTTCTCCCCTTAATGCCAACCTCTAGGAATACAGCAGAGCCTTGGGGCCCACCGCCCACCCGATGCTGCTCCTGGCCTGGTATACAGTAGCCGTGTAATATTGAAATGTATAATAGACACACACGATAGAATACTTTGCAGCCATTTAAATGTATGATAATGTAGAAGTGTTTATTGACATCTAAAGTTACCTATATGTTAAATTAAAAAAAATTATAAAATAGTATAGTATGACCCCATTTTTATAAAAAGAATTGCTGTGTATATAGATACATTGTCAACATGTTCATAGTGGTAGGATTATGCTTTATTTTCTTTGCAACTCTTCATATTATCTGAATTTAAAATATAACAACATTCAGTTGATTCATTAATTTATTTTTCTTTATTGATTTTTAGAGAGAGGAAGGGGGAAAGAGAGAGAGGGAAACATCAATTTGTTCCACTGACTTATGCATTCATTGGTTGCCTCTTACATGTACCCTGACCGGGATTGAACCCACAACCTTGGTGTATGGGGACAACGCTCCAACCAACCGAGCTCCCTGGCCAGGGCCGAGCTATTGTTTTCTAATTTAAACATTACTTCCATTATTAACATGTACAATCAAGTACATGTTAAAACAATTTTTTTCTAACATGTAACACTTGGAAGTTTTTTAGACATTTGAAACAACTAAATTTCTGAATCAAATCACAATGTTGGATTGTATTCATCATGCTATTTCTGATTAAAGTGGGCCGCTACCAAAAGATATCTTCATTTCTATATGAAATTTGTTATTTTATTTTAATGTCCATAATTACCCATTTGACTCCTCTCTCTCTCTCTCTTACTCTCTCTTTTTCTTTTTTTAAATATTTTTTATTTCAGAGAGGAAGGGAGAGGGAGAGAGAAAAACATCAATGATGAGAGAGAATCATCAACCGGCTGCCTCCTGTACGCCCTACACTGGGACTGCAACCTGGGCATGTATCCTGACTGGGGTGGAACCATGACCTTCTGGTTCGTAGGTCAACACTCAACCACTGAGCCACACCAATTGGATGGCTCTCTCTCTTCACTGGTTATAAAATGTAACTGGGCATTAAGATCCACTTACAATCTCCCCCTTTAAAAGATACTAATTTACATAAATAAGGCATTGACGACCTTTGCACAGTAACAGACCCCTGGGTATCTTAGATCCAAAGTATAATTGCACTTGGTTTATACAGCAATTGCATTCCTGTGGGGAATGGAAGGTATTTTTGTACAGTCCTTTTCCCTACTTCGTGTAATCAAAAAGTCTCACTGAGTCAGTTTAAGAGAAGAGAAGGAATAGGGCAGATACTATCTATGGCTACCTGTCTTCTGGGGAACGAATTGTGTTCTTGGCAGTTTCAATCCATTGACACAGCGGCCTCAGCACCATTAAGAACTAACACCATGACCTATACAATGTGACTACAGCCGCGGAAGAACCAGCCCACTGTTCCTCACTTGCAGGAGAGGGTATCGGAGCAGGGGTAAGCGTGGCGCCTCAGAATTTAATCATCCAACACAACGGGCACGACACGGACTGTCGGGGGCCGCGGCACAGCGAGGCCCTATTCTCTTTGGAAGCTCCAACAGCTGGGGACGTCCGGTCTTCACTTCAGGTCCAGCAGCATGGACGCTGGGTTTTCCAAGTAGGACTTCCACAGGTTGGAGAAGCGCGACATGGTGGCCCCGTCGATGACTCTGTGATCGGCCGACCAGCTCACGTTCATGATCTGCGCCTTATACACGTCTCCCTTCTGGTTGAACCGAGGAAGGGCCTGGAAACGCAGAAAGAGGGAGTCAGCCTCCGCCGCGCAGAGCAGGAGCTGGAGCAGGAGACCAGAGAGACCGCACACGCCCCTCCTCGCGGAGCAGGGAGGCCTCCCAGGGCTCTGGAAACGCCATCCTGCTGGCCTCCCCCTGAGGATGAGCCTCCAGTCTCAGCTCCTCGACGGCAGCTGGTCCCGGGACTTCCATATCCACAGTGACTTTCATCTCAGATTTCAGCTACCGAACCCGCGTTTACTGAGCACCTGCTACGTACCAGGCCCCTTCTAGACTCTGGGATGGAGCAGTGAACAGAACAAGTAACCCTTCCCTCGTGGAGTGAGCATTTTAATGGGGAGAGACAGACAGGAAAAACAAGTGAAATATACAGAGGGTCAGACTGAAAAGCGCAGAAGAAAAAGCGGAGCAGTTGGCAGGGGGACAGCGTGTAGCAAGCAGAGGGGAGGGGCATCTTTTTGGACGGGGTGGGCAGGGGGAGCCTCGCCACTCGGGCCTCCTCACCAGCAGTGGGGACCCCGTCATGTGGATGCCGAGACAGAGACTGCAGGAGGAGGGAGGAGGGTGGGAGGCCAGCAGGGGCAGGGCGGCCGCGGGGCTGGGCACGTCAGGTGGAAGAGGTCCCATATGGAGCACGCTGTTCAGAGGCACGTACTCTGTCTGTCTATGGTAAAGGACCTGGATTTCCCCAAATTTCTAGCCCACTGACAGCTATTTAAAAGTGAATGACTTAAAAAATGAAATAAAAAAGCAGAAAGGTACTTTTGAAATCCTAAAGATCAAAATCCAGGTTGATGTAGTGATAATGACACGCAATAACAGTGGCACACCAACGCCATCCAGGACCTTAGCGTTTTACCTCTGGGGGTTCTGGACCCCGAGTTAATAGGGATGCCCAGCCCCCAAATTCTGATTCAGTTGGTATGGGGTGAGCTTGGACATTTTTTTTAAAAAGGAAAAACCCCCATGACTCACTTGTAGCCAGGTTAACAACCCTTGCAACCCTTACTCCTTGGCATTCTGAAGCAAGGCACTGTGGGGGAAGCAGATGGCTTATCTGTGATTCTCCATAGACTCGCAGTGGGAGCCGTGGGACCCTCAGGGCGGACCCCAGGTGGACCCACAGCGGGGGACCCACAGGGCGGACCCATAGGGGAGGACTCGCAGGGGCACAGTCAGGTCACCACCCTCCCTACAGAGGCCGCTGGGATCGCTGGCCGGGGCATCAGGAAGAAACAACTGCTCACCCCGCCGAGCATTGCACTCAACCCTGCAAAGTGAGGGAAACCTCAGAAATGGTTACTCTTGTCCTGGCTGGTGTGGCTCAGTGGATAGAGCGTCGGCCTGCGGACTGAAGGGTCCCAGGTTCGATTCCCGTCAAGGGCACATGCCTGGATTGTGGGCTCGATCCCCAGTGGGGGGCGTGCAGGAGGCAGCTGATCAATGATTCTCATCATTGATGCTTCTCTCTCTCTCTCTCCCTTTCCCTTCCTCTCTGGAATCAATAATAATAATAATAACAATAATAATAATAATAATAAAAGATTACTCTTGTTTGTGCTCACTCTCCCGACTTGCTTAAACTGTTTCGGTTCTTTCACAAACACACCTTAATTGACCCAAGAGCCCCAATGGCGACTTCGGGCGGCAGGATCACTGCTTTGGCGTAGGTGCCGCCGATCTGAAAAACAAGCGAAGACAGTGGAAACGTTAGGCCTGTGAGGAGCAAGCGGCCCGTGACATTTTAAAAATTTTTTTGAGTCGGGCTGGTGCGTGTGCGCGGCACTCACGGAGCCGATGTTGGAGAGGGTGAAGGTGCCCCCCGTGAGGTCGGCGGTGCTGAGCTGCCCCGTGGAGCCCAGCTGCTGGAGGCGGTTCAGCTCCGCCGCGATGTCCATCACGGATCGCGCCTGGACGCTCTTCACGTTCGGGACGATCAGCCCCTGCTCGGTGTCCATGGCCACCCCGATGTTGTGAGACGCCTAAAACAATAACAATAACACTACTACAGTAGCCTTCTCGTAGCCAGCAGGAGAGGACCAGCTCCACTGCCCCACTGCCCCATAACAGCTGCCAAACCTTACCTCCCCAGAATGGGATGGCTTCAAAGAAATGATTTTTAAATTTTTTGAAAAAGGAACTCTTTTTGTCGGTAAGAATATACATTGTTAGTGGAAATGTAAGCTGACACGGGCTTTCTGGCGAACATTTAACAACAATACGTACCAACAGTTATACAAATCTGTTACAGAGATAAAGACAGAAGCATGTAGAGACACACAGGGATGCTGAGTTCAGACTGTCTGTAAATTTGAGACACTGAAAACAACCACAATGTTTACAACAGGTCAGTGGCTAAATAAATGGTAACAGTATTTACTGACAGGTAATGATGTCCATAATATATTAAATGAAAAAGAATTAAGCAATATTAAGCAGTATGTGTAATTCCGTGTGTGTGTGTGTGTGTGTGTGTGTGTGTGTGTGTGTGTGTGATGTATGTAAAAATAAAATCCTGGAAGGACGCACATCTCAACATGAACAGTTGAGTTGCCCTAGGATCCTGGGATCGGAGACAAACATCATTTCCTTGTCTGAACTCTTTGTAACCAGCCTCTCCTCAATCAGGAAATACTGATCGCCTGGGAAGACCTTAGACACAACCCTCAGAATACCCAAGTCACTTCCTGCTCGTACATTTCTAGTGAGACACACAGGTAAGAATTAGCGTCCCCAAGAGTTGTCTTAATCAACTTTCACTCCAAACAGAAGAGTTCAAACTTTCCTCACCTCTCTCATTTAAATCACCCTTGTTTTAAGAATCGCAGGAATTCTGTTTTGAGAGAGGTTATTCTTTCTGAGGGAAGGGGTGATGGGATGGGTAGTATGACCCATTGCCTCAACCAAAAGGGCTGAAGAATGCATAGCTGCACAGTATCATTATTAACCAGCAAACCCGCCACAACCACCACCAGTGAGACTCAGCTTACTGCTTCCTCCCTACCTGTGGTTCTAGTCTAAAACGCTTCACGTTTGCGGGACCCAGACGCCACTCACTGACAAGCACACCTGCACTGCGTTCTGTGTAGGCCAAGCACATTCTCACACACACAGCCAACCTTGTAGGTGACCTTCTGGCAGCTCTCGTCCACCGAGGCATTGAGGATGGGGAACTGCAGCAATCCCAGGGAGGCGGCCTGGCAACAGAGAGCGAGGTTAGCAGTCGGAACTCGGGGGAGGGGGGGCGCCTGCTTATGCCACGTTCCACTGCAAGCCCACATCGCCGGGGCAGGTGACTGCCCAGCAAGGTGGAACAGGGTCACCCTGGTGGCTTAAGAATAAAAGAGAAAGCAGCCAGTAGCTTGTAAACATCAAGATTTTCTCCCCACAAAAATTTTTTTAAATTTAAAAAGGTTTTTCAAAATAACTACAGGGTGGGACAAAAGTAGGTTTACAGTGGTTTGTATGGAGATAATACAATAATTAATAAATAAGAAACAGTAAACTGTGTTTTGGGTACTCACAACTGCAATCCTGCTTTTGCCCCACCCCACACATGGGCTGGCCAAGTCCCAGAGAAAATGCCTCAGTTCTAAGGGATTTCCTCACTCTGAGTAGAGTTCCCGTGAGAGGCAAACCTGTGGTCCCCAGGAAGCTGTCCCTGTGTGACAAGGACAGTGCTAACGACTTCCCGGGTTGAACTCAAATTGTAACAGCCACAGAAGGCTCATGGAGGAGGCTATACTCAGGATGCAAGTATTTGACCAAGGTGGGAGGGCACACGGCGGTGGATGGTGGCTCAGTCTGACGGAACAGAGGGAGCGACCGAGAGCTCGGACTGGAGAGGGCAGCAGCGCCCCATGGTCGCATCTGAATGCCGCACTCGGGCGTTTAGAAACCATCCTGACGCGATGAGGGGGAGCCCGTGGAAAGAACTGGGGAGTGATAAGAGTTTGATTTATGGGAGCTCAGCCTCGGTGCAGTGTGGGGAAAGGCTGGTGGAAGCCACACTGCAGTTAGCGATAACCGTATGCATTTTGAGTAAAACAGACCAGAACCGGAAATTTGGGGTCTCGCTTCTCTGGGCCCCCATTTCCTTAAATGGGAGGTGGGGGATGTCAGGGTCATTCTGAGAATTAAGAGAGCTCCCGTGTGCAGCGTGCTGGGCACGGGGTCTGGCACATGTAACAACTTTGTGAGTGGTGGTTCATGTGAGCTACACTGTGAGCTGCTCAAGGTTAGCGGATGGTTTTATTCCATTTTATACTGATCCCAAGGCCCAGTATTAGAAACAATTCTCAGGAGCCTCAACGTAAGTTTGCTGAATAAATGGAAGTAAGCCCTGGTCGGTGTGGCTCAGTTGGTTGAGCATCATCCCATGCATCCAAAGATTGGCGGTTCCATTCCCAGTGGGGGCATATGCCCGGGTTGTGGGCTGATCCCTGGTAGGGGGTGTGCAGGAGGCAGCTGATCGATGGTCCTCTTATCGGTGTTTCTCTCTCTCTCTCTCTCTCTCACCCCCTTCCTCTCTCTAAAATCAATAAAAACATTTTTTTTTTAAAAAATGGAAGTAAATATATGTCAGTGATACACAAGATCAATACCAGCTCTCCCTTTTGTTTAAACAGAGCTTCGCTGGATGGTCCTTACAGAACAAAGGCTTCACCCACTGACAGGACCAGCCGCACCAGCTCCAAGAGGCAAGCGGGTGACAACAGGGCACGTTCTTCTAGGTGATCTGGTGAGAAGTAGTATTTTTATTCAAACCCACAGTTAACACGTTCAGTATTTGGAAAAGAGCATTTAAATGCCCTACTCCACCCTTGCTGGCAATGAATGGAACCTCACCTTTATGAAGAAGGGCATAAAGGAGAGTTTAATTCCACGAGCAGAAGCAACGGGTTTCAATTCTTCTCGCAGCTTCACCAGCTCGGTGAGGTCGACCTCGTCACAGTAGCCGAAGTGCGGGATCTTCAGGGCTGCGGTCATGGTCTTGACCATCGCTTTCCGAAAGCCTGGAAAACAGTATATTTTCAATTGTTAAATCCTTTAATCCTTCTCCTTTTAACCTAAAATAGGTTAATGTTGTTTACTCTCAATTACATTCCTCCCCACACCATTATGTAGCTCGAAAGCCACGAGTTTCAGTGCCAAAGCCCCGAATGCCGCACAACCCCCGGTGCCAAGTTCAATAACACAACAGGTGGCCGCTTTCAAGGCTGTGTGTGCAGATAACTCTATAGGCTGCAGGCCAGGATCCACCAGCGGCTTTCCTGCAATATCCCTCTTCAGGAAGTTATCATCCTAGGTGTTCGTAAACAACAAGTCAGACGGAATTACTTTGAGAGCTAACAAAAACTAATGAATATTTAAAATATCTGGAGACTTCAAACTGAACAGTTATTCGTTTACACATTCATATTCCAAGAAACTGGCTAACACGTTACTTACTCTTCAGAAATTAACAGTATAAATTGGGAAAACTGTTATTTCATCATTAAAAATAAATTGTATGCTGAACTTGAACTTTCCCTTCAGTAAGAATTACAAACACCATGTTATTTAAAATAAATAAAGAAAATTAAAAAAAAATCAAAATACCCTATTATCTGCATGGACCTAAGGAGGCAGCTGCTCCCCAGTAGATTACACTGTCACCGGCAGTACCGTTCCTGTTACCTGTTATGGGCTCTGTTCTGTCCTGGCCTGTGAATACCACAGGTTTTGCCACTGGGGTAGGAAGAGGTTTGTCTTTTGGTTTCGGTGGAGGTGGCATAATTTCGGCTTTTGGTGAAGGAGGTAATATAGCTCCTGTCTGCTTCTCCAAAAAGTTGAGAATATCTTCTTTGAGTATTCTGCCATCTTTTCCTGAGCCAACAACTTCACTCAGCTTAATCTAAAAAAGGATACACTTCATGTGAAAAATAAAACTACCTGAAAATAAATAAATCCATCATGAAAGTCGCTAAGAGGAATTCAATGCATTGTAGGTAAAAAAAAAAAAAGTACCTCTGCCCAATAAGTTAGTATAAGGAAGTAACATTTTCGTTATCTTAACAGAGCGCGATAAGAACAGCTCCCTCCTACTTATCCACGAGGTAACCATGCGGTATTTACGTTGTAGATAATCCATACCTATGTATGAAAACTTACATTTTTAAACAATCAACTCTTCTTAAATTTCTTGCATGATTCTTAATTGATTTTTTCTATTTTTAGAAACTACAGAGAACTGAGGTCACCTGATGCTCTTAATGATCTAGTGTTCCATGATTATCTCTATGTTCTGTTATGCTAAATGGTCTTCATATTTGAATGCATTTAATGGCGAATAAATGGCCATGAAGGCTCTAGTCTATACCGTAACTTATGTAGGCATCTCCCTGATTTGAACACAAGCGCTTGCTAATTTTTGGCTATAAAGTCCGATTCTTCCTCGGGCTAGCTTCTGGAGCAACCGTCGGATAACTGCTGAAGGGATGTGAACACTTCAGTGACACTTCAGTGACTCTTCTACTTCCAAAAAGTACACATTTGTTTTTCCCAAAACAAACCAACAAAACACCTGCCCGTGGGCACACTGGGAGGAGGCAGATCTGGGTCCAAGGCCCCAGTTCGGCTCCCTCCTCGATTTCAGGCAAATTCATCAACTCTGCCCTCCCACATCTGCAAAATGGGGACAGTCCGAACCCCCTCCGGGGCTACAGTGGGGGTCAGTGTGCAGCGTCTGGCTCAGGTCTCCTATGAGGGAAGCAGTCAGTGGAGACCGGGAGACGGACTTCAGAATCCTGGCTCCACCACCGCTCTGTGACCTTGGGCCGGTTTCCTGACCTCCTCCTATCTTATCTCACAGAGCTGTGAAGATTAAATGAAACACCATGTAAATTCTTATTGCCCGCCCCGGGAGCCACCTTCCCTCCCCGGGAGGTTAGGCACCAAGGACGGGCTGATGAGAGGAATTCCAAAGGCCAGCCTCCTTGACTCAGTTCTGGGGTTCTCCCCACCTCCCCGGGATCAGGGCACATCCTAGAGACCCATCCTTGCCTGGCCCACTGCCCGCCTCTTCCCTCCCCTATGCTCATGCCCAGTAAAGGTGCTCACTCTTTCAATCAATCAATCAATCAATCAATCATCACGTCCCCAATCCTTCTCCTAGGGCACCTGACCTAAGACACGAGTATTTACAAGAGCTGCATCAATGGTGGCCCTGATGTTATCAGCTCTAAGAAAGCACAGTAAAGCACACTCCTCAATCAGGAGAAGTAATGAGTTCCCAATGGTCTTCTCATTTCTCACGAGTGCCTTGACGCAACTACCACTTTTCGGTAACAGACATTCCCATGTTTCCTTCCACCCCAACTGGAGCCACCTCATCTGGACAGCTGGCTAGCTTTCAGATGCAAACACATACTCTCTCTGTGTCTCACGTTTACATGTTAAGAAAACATACGTTGTTCTCCATGGCCAGGCGGCGCACCGCCGGGGTGGCCAGCGTCTTGTGCCCTTTTATCTCCTGGTGAGTGTGCTCGTCATGGGACACGGCAGGCGTTTCCACCACATCCTCCTCGGAATCTGGTAACAAGGTACATGTTTACTCTTCAGCTGAGAATATATACAAAGATTCTACATGATAGACAAAAGGCGTAATAGTCGGGCTACTTCAGAAAGGAAAACAAACAGGAGAGGTGGGGGTACTGGTATCTGGTGGTGTTTCATGGCTTTGTACCTGGTATTCACTTCGTTTCTGTTGAAATCACGTAGCCAGCTACCAGTTAAAAAATGAGAGCTTCTTCCATAAATTTTAAAACATGTTGTATTTTAAACACTTTCCTAATAAATTTCTTTTATAAGTCTCGTGAAATAAGGATCAGGTGGGAGGTAAATTACACGGAAGGATCATGTAAAGTCTGGGACCAGCCTAAATGCTTCCCCGAGATGACACAGCATTGAAATGTTCCTCTGCTTTGAACACTGATGTGTGAAGAGTGGTGATTTCTGAGTAGCGGGAGCATGTTTTCATTTTCTTATTTTTGGTTTTCTTATCTCATAACTTTCTCTAATGCAGCGTCCTGCTTTGATAACAGAAATTAAATAAATGATGAAAGGCTTCAATAAGCTACCTCCCAGGTTTGGAGGGAGCTGGTCATGGTGCATAAAGACTCAGGACATCCCAGGTCTAAACTGGGCTGTCACTGCCATTGGGTTGGGTTTAGTTCTTACATCGGTTCAACAGAATTACTCACGTGTAAGGATAAGAAACGTAAGTGTGAAACCTGACAGATGACGGAGTGACTGCATTAGTATTACACTCTTGCACAGCCCGCAGGGCCTCTGTGTCTCAGGCACCCACGGGACTTCTGCCTCTGACTGTGGACCTGTCCGAACCCCAGCGCTCCCTCCAGGTTGCGGGCGAGGGCTGCCTCACAGACGGGTCCCTGCCAGCCTCCGATACAGCGCTGTTTCCGGGGAGACAGAGCCCTGGGCTTCGGGGAGGGCAGCCAGCTGTGCGCCCCACGGCACCAGCCCAGTGCCCGTTTCCCTGGAGCGCTCTCATCTGGAATCCCTGTCAGTGCACTGATGGTGAGACCCCCGGCCGCTGCTTCTTCGCATGCGGGTCTCCGCACTGCTCCTCCGGCTTTTCCTCCTTTTCTCTCCTGCGTCTCCTCTCCAGGAAGCCTGGCTTTCACAGCCATCAGCACGAGTGCTGTTCTGTGCCGTATTCGCGGCACACAGAGCCATCCACTGTGCACACTACACCTTTTGTTAGCAGTGACCAGTGTCCTGGATCTTTCATTGTTGCTTCTGTGACCACTATGGTTTCCAGAAGCCTGGCCACCAGGTCACTGTTACTGTCCATGTAGTTACCATGGCGACTGGTCAAAAGATAATCATGCATCACCAAGGACCTTTCTATTTCCCTGACTTCCTGTAAGTTATTAAAAATAAACATCCCTTTTGATTGGTACCCAAGGATGCAAGGACAGCAGCGATCAACTTGGCAAACAGGGACATGCACTTCAGTACCTTTTAAAGCTTCTGTTTCTATGTCGACGAGTGGCTTCCCCACATAGGCCGTGTCCTCTAGGTTATAGTACAGTTTCTTAATGACGCCATCGTAACGACTGGTGATGGTAACAGAAGCTTTGTCGCTCTGAACTTCACAGATGCTGTCGAACTGAGACACGGTGTCTCCTTCCTTCACGAACCTACAAGAAACAGGTGTCAGACCTGCCGTGTGACCAAGTGCCGAGCAGCCTGCACCGCTGACGCCACGCTGAGTTAGGTCCTATCCACCCAGGCTAGCAGTGAGTCCCAGAGGTGCACCAGAGAATGTTCCAGAAAAGACCATCATGGTTTCCAGAACCTCTCTGGTGTTATCTCCAATACCAACTTTTTAAAACCATTCATAGATCTGCAATTTGAAAATTTAATTAAACTTTCAGGTTTTCTGCTTCACCCACTCCTTGGGAAAGGTTCTAAAAAAGTATTTTAAATGTGTGTGTGTGTGTGTGTGTGTGTGTGTTTCCTTTCATTGTTTTATATTAGCCTGTATCAAACTTTAAGGGGTGCCTATTATTTCTAGAATTAGATTGAAAAATTGATGTCCCCAGCACACAACCTTTGTAATTTCATGAATTTTGGCTTGAGTTCTCTTCTAGAATTATTGTTGCCTGTCCTTTTATATCGATCCCTTTATCCCATAACTATTTTAAGTGTGCTTTACCAAACAGAGCAGGGAGAATGAGACCAACCTCAAATACTGCATGTGATTCTGAGTTTAATACCATTCTTTTTTAAAAAAATTTTTTGATTTATTATTTTTTCTTTATTGATTAAGTTATTACATATGTGTCCTTATCCCCCCATTGCCTCCCCCCCCCCGACTCATGCCCTCCCCCCCATGGTGTCTGCGTCCATTGGTTATGCTTACATCTAATACCACTCCTGACGTAACTAGCACATTCCTGACGTGTTGCATTCATTCTTCACTAACATCACTATTGTTGTCATTCTCATGCCTTGTCTTCCTGTCCTAACCAGGTCTCAGTCCACATAACACACCACCCGTGACAGGGACATGAGGTGTGAGAGCCCCTATGGGGCTTTCCCTCCCAGGCAGGGAGGGCCCGGGATTCCGCCCCTCCGGAAAGGCAGCAAGTGCACTGACACACGTCATCCCTTAGAGGTGAACTTCTCTGCTTTTAGCTGAAACGAGGGGTGGGCTGTGAACGTCTTTAAAAAGGGGAGAAAATGATGCTTAAGACACTGCCCAGAACAAGACGCAGTGTTGTGAGAACTGGCTCACCAGCATGCTGACACCAGCAGCTCGTTCCACCCACTCCTTTGGGAGGTGATAGCAACTTTCTCCATTTAAATCGAACCTACTTATTTTCACTCTGATTATCTTAAGATGGACTTAAACCTTTCTCACAATAACTTACCATTCTTTGACAGTTACTTCTCTGATGCCTTCTCCGATGTCTGAGAGTTTGAACTGGACAATCTGTCCCCGGTGACCTTCAAAGACAAATGAGAAGTAATCTCCTTAAACATGTCACGTGTTGTTAGGAGATGCTTTTACACCTAAAATTAGAAAATATTCTCCAGCAGAGGCAGAAATGATTTCATTTTACAGATAAAAATTTCTCAATTTTTAACAGCATCATGATCACTCATAGCCATCAAACATTTAAATAAGTCCATTGATGCCACCGACCCACCGCCACCGCCACAGAACTCCCACTTCCCAGCTTCCAAAGCCATGTTCTGTTACAGGGGCTGTAAACAGACTGTGAAACATGGCGTGTATTAGGGAGACCCCACCGCATCCCCTGCTTCACGTTACGAAGCTGTCATAACCACCAACAGCCTGCTTCCAGGTCTCTGTCGACCTTGTATTTTGGCTTCATACTCTCACTCTTAGTGGCTAAAGATCAGGCAGAGCCCTACACAGAAAACTCGATGGGAGATTCTTATTTGCCCAAACTATGTTCTGCCAACTTATCATTCAATTTGAGTCTTTTCCTTCCACTTTCCACTTTTTACCCCTTTTCAAAGATCTACCCCCTTTTTATAACACTTGGATGCCAATGAAACTTTATGGTAATTATTCCCAAGAAAGTCAGTATGTTTGGTTAGCAAATGGCTCTGAACTGATTTAAGAATGTGCCTCTATTTTTAGACTGCTAATAGGTACAACTGCTCATAAAATACACAAACAGCTGATTCAGGAGCACATTTTTCTTTAATAAATATGAGGAGGTAAGTTAGTAGTAAAGAAATGTGTCTTGGATATGAGGTCTCAGGAGCCTGTTTCCATGCTAGGAAGCGGGCCCTCTCGCGGCCTGCTGCTCATTTAAACGGGAACCTTTCGGGAACACTTTGGTACTAAGTACCCAAAGCCTTAAAGAAAAGGCCCATGACTTTGAGCCAGCAACTCTAGTTTGAAGCCTTTTTTGCCCGAGGACATAGAGGCACACAGAGGTCAGTGCTCAAGAACAGTTACCATGGAGACCGGGACCCAACCTGAGTGACTAAAACGTGACAAGTAAATGCACATGACACCTCTATGCAAAGCCAGGTTATGCAAGGAACACGATGAGCCCACAGCATGTGCAAGAGCATGGAAATGTGACAACATCGTTAGCGAATGGCCAACAGTTCTGTGCGGCTGAGGCCAGGACCTGTGGGGAGAAATCAGCCCAGACTTTAAAGGGCTTTGTGTGCCAGGCGGAGGTGAGGTGTTTGAAGTTTATCCTACAGGTAATCAGGGGCCAGTGAGGGTTCGTCTGTTTCACCGTTCCTAAAATCTACGCTGTCCTGTGACTTGCTTTCACCTATAGAATATAGCAGAAGTGAAAGTGTGTAAATTATTTTAAAAAATATATATTTTTTTATTGATTTCAGAGAGGAAGGGAGAGGGAGAGAGAGAGATAGAAAAATCAATGATGAGAGAGAATCATGGACCGGCTGCCTCACGCATGCCCCCTACTGGGGATGGAGCCCGAAACCTGGGCGTGTGCCCTGACCAGGAATCAAACCGTGACCTCCTAGTTCAACGCTCAACCACTGAGCCACGCCGGCCGGGCGAAAGTGTGTAAATTCTGGAGCCTAGGCCTCAGAGGACCTCGCCCTCACAGCTCTCCCTTGTCCCTCTTGGAAGGCAGCCGACCTAACCTGGCGGAGTATGAGAGGCCAGGGGTGGAGCAATGCGATGTCCCAGCCGGAAACCAATACTAATAGACGTGTGAGGGAGAGCGTCCTGGACCCTCCAGCCCAGGTGAGGCTCTAGCCAAACACAGTCACATCAGTGAGCCGGGCTGACGCCCAGGATCCCGACAGATAATAAATCATGTCGCTTCAAGCTGCTCTGAGGACGGCTGCTACTCAGCAGTGGTTTCCTGCCAGGGAGTCCCCGCGGCCATCTCAGGCTGTAGCTTTAGGTCTACAATGTTAGGAGACAATTGTCTCCGGCAGGAGTGTGGCGGAGAGAGACGGGGAAGGGGCGGCAGGGAAGGCGGTTAGGAGGCTATTGCAGGTGACGAAGCTGACGGACGGAGCTTAACAGATTTATACAAGTTTGAAGCTGCCTGAAAAGGAGAAGACAAGTTTAAGAAACACATAAGCTGTAAACTGAATGGATCATGGTCATCAGTTTGAGGTGAGAAAGGAATCAGGCTCTAGGCTTCCAGCTTAGCTACTTACTAAGCTGGGGACTAAAGAAGAGAGCGTATCCCAAGCACCGAGAGCAGTGCCTGGCACACAGTAGGTGCTCAGTAAATATCTGTGTTGCATGAACTGATTCTCACACCAACACAAAGGGTCAGATACTGTGACTACTCCCACTTTCCAGGTGACACTAAGTCACCTGCTTGACGTTACACAGCCAGCAAGTGGTAGGCCATGAACCTAGAGCTCATAACTGCCTGCACTGGAACTTCACTGGCCTCTATTCTCTCTCACCAAAGACCGACTTTTGAAAATAAAAATCTTAAAAAAACACAAATGGTGACAGTAGGTTCACATATCTTAGGGTGTTGTGGCAGATGGCGTGTCAGAGGCACGTAGGACTGACTGTCCTCAGGCGGGTCTGCCTGGAACCCCCTGCTTTTCACTGCTAGCACAGACCCAGGTGCCCACATCTGGCAAAAGGGTAAGGACACAACAGAAGTCCAGGGCTCTTTACCAGGTTTCTAAAGAGAACGTCAGAAAATAGAGTTTTAGTGCCCTCGCAAATCTAATCCTTTCAGCCTCGAGTTCTTCAGAGAGGGTAGAAAACGTGGGGGTGGGGGGTAATTAAATGGTAAAAGCAGGGAACTTTGTATCTAGGGGCACCTCCGGCTGCTTTCATCCCACCATCCACCAGGACAGATGAAGCCCTCCTCCAACCACCAACACGGCAGGGAGTACAAGGGCACAAACTATTTTATCAGACGATCAAGTCACATTTCCCTGGACTGAGGACAGTCTATCCACGCTGACTGTTGCACAGAGATGAGCCAGGTGATAAAGAGAAGATGGCCCAAGACAACCCATTCCCAACTCCATGAAGACACACATATCAAGGGAAAGTGTGTGAAAGGGGAGTGGGGGAGAGGTAGGGTGCAAAGATAATTTAAAAAAAAGAAGGATAAATGTGGGGAGAGCAAGGAGGGCCAGGCTAGGAATGAAAGGTCCACTTGAAAAAAACACCCCACAAACTTTGATAAGTCTACAATCACTTAAGATAAAGTGCTGAGTAAGATACGAAACGTTCTCTCACGTGGCTATGGTGGTCACACTCACCAGCAGTTGTTTTCAGCGGTCGGTGCGGATGGCTAGCCTTGAAGGAAGGGTGGCCGAAGAAACACACATATTTGGGTTTCAAAGCACGAACATCACTCCGTGTCTGAAAGTAGCGAACGCAAACCTAGCGACCAGAAGACCAAAAGGAAAAGCCCTGTTACGTGATCTTTACGGCTTCCCTCTCTAAGTACAGACGGAATTTCACGTCCATTCTAACAGTGGAACGACCGTTACCACTGCATAAACGACCTGAAATGATCTAGGCCCCAGTCAGACACCGGACATCAAGTGGCAGGAAGAAGAAGATCGGGGAGCGGGTGCCGGGGAAGCCGAGGATGGGGAAGCTCTCAGGGGAGCGAGGCCGGGACCTCGTCGGTCAGGTGCTGCTGGGGACGGCTGGCTGGCCCCTCCTACTTCTCTTTCACAAAGCTCAGGTTATGCAATGTCCTCTGGGAACTCCGGTCTGAACCTGGGACCGTTCCTAGGTGTTCCTGCAGCTGTAGGACCTGTCCATGCATCGCACGCCTTACGCTGTGCTGTAACTGCTTGTCTACAGCCTATCCCTGTCTCTCTGTCTGTCTGTCTGTCCTCCACCACAGGCTGTGATTAACCTCTGTGCGGACAGGGATGGTGTCGGTCTTATTCATATTTGCATCCTGGATGCCTAGCACCAGACCTGGTCCGTAGCGGGTTCCCGAAAGGCTTTGTAAGATTAGGGGTCGCCCGCTGTAGGAAGCTCTGGGGGAGAGGGGACTCGGGCAGAGTAGGAACTGAATACAAATCAGATGAAACACTCTGATGACGGGATGTTCACTGCTTAGTGCCAAAACACCGAGTGACAGTGGGGAACGGCAGGGTGATGGTGGTGGGTCGCAGCTGCATGGAGCCCGAGGTTGGGAAGACACAGGTGCAGACCTGGGAGGCAAGGACACGCCCCAGGGATGAGGCTGGAGCAGGTGTCTCCGCTGCTCGGGGGCAAGGACCATGCAGTGATGCTTTGCTCCGAGGGTCTCTTCCTGGACTGCGAGTCCCTTGAGAGCTGGGGTCGTCGCGTCGTGTCTGGCACCCAGTGGGTGCTCCCTGAATGCTCAATGGGTGCATCCCCGGTGCCTGTCCCAGCGCCCGGCACCCAGATGCTGCTCAGCGACAGGCCAGCTGGGCCTCGGGGTGCAGAGGGAGCGGGAGGGCCGCCGAGTCCCGCCAGGTGCGCGCCCAGGTGAGGGGAGGGGATGGGTCTCCAGACCCGTCGGCTCCCACCTTCGGTGCCCTTCGCTCTGCGGGTGTCCCCCCACCTCTCCATCCCGCGTGCCCGGTACGCGCGGCCCTCGGAGGACACACGCACACACCTCCCCCGCAAGACTGCGGACACATCACTCCTCCCCGACCTCAGCCCGCCCGGCCCGCTCACCAGCCGCCCGGCTCTCTGGCTCCAGGTCCGCAGCACACGCACTGCGGCCATCTTACTCCGGAAACTACAGCGGCGCCGCGATTGGAGGCGTGGCCCCTGCCCGGCCACCTATTGGGATCCGGGAAACGCACCTCCCCCTGAGTGGCCAATGAGAGCGAAGGAGCGGCCCACCGGACAGCCAATCAGGGAGGGGGGCGGGGCCGGAGCAACGCCCACTGCGGGGGCGGGGCGGGAAGGGATGCCCGGAGGAGAAAAGCTGGAAGATGGGGAACCAGTGGGAGGAGGGCAGCCGGGTTTCATTTCGCAGACGATGTCGGACGTGTGCACCCACGGTCATCTTTGTAGTCCATGCAGCGGGGGCGGGGGAGGCAGAGTTAAGGGAACACAAAGGAAAGGCGCTTACCTGGAGGGAGGTGTGTGACTCAGCCCTGAGGATGCGCAGGAAAATAGCTCCGGTCTTCCGCCGAATTGCAACCGCCTGGATGATGGGTGCCAGGCTCCGACCCACTGATGGGGTCACAGGCCTGTACTGAACCAGGTCCCAACGACTGGCAGCTCTTATCGCAGCGAGCATCCCTGACCATTTGAACTGGCTGTTCAATATTTTTTCATGGAAGATGAACAAGGTTACCCTGATGTCTAAAATAAGCATGTTATTAACATGTTCTTCCCTTCTCAGCACAGGAAATATATGTCACAGACATATGAATCGCATTTATTTGCCTCTTGGACTACAAAGATGACCGTTGGTGCACATTTATTTGCCTCGAATTTAGAACCAGGAAAGAGAAGATCAGAGCTTGCACAGCCAAGTTTCCAGGGTGACATTTGTCTGTTTTTGCCTCTTATCAGGAATGAAAATCTGCACGGATGTCTAAAGAAATACAGAGAGAGAGAAAAATAACTGGGACAAAGAGAACATTATAAGTCCTCAATTGTGAAGATTAGTGGCTGTGAAACAAAATCTCAGGTATTACACAAATTCAATGTCTAATAGTATCTAAACTCACCCTTCTTTATTTGCCTTATTTACCTTTCAGTGTATTTCCCTCTCTCTCTCACACACACACACCTATACACACACACATATGCACGCGTGCACACACACGGACTACTGTGAGCAATAAATCAAAGTCATTATCTTTAAAGGAAAATCTAACAAAACACTTTATAAGCACTGTTAATATATTTGATAATACTACATGCAAGTGTTACATAAAAACACTTTGAAGTGAATTATTTTTTCTCTAGGGTCCCTATACCATCTCTTCCTCTTAATGTCCCTTTATCTCTACCTTCTCCCAATAAAACATCTAGCTTATTTCCTTTCTTTTATCCTCTTTTACCTCAATGGCTTACTGCTTCCAAATTCAGTATTATGTTTTCTTACCTTTCTTTCCAAAAGCAAGAGACATGCCACCTACTCACTAGTTAATCCTTTCACTCAAAAGAGACAAAGAATTAATTTCTTCTCTTTTTTTAACTAATAAATATGACCATGTCCCAGCAATTCCACTCCTAGGTGTCTACCCAAGAGAAAGGAAAACATATGTCTACACAAAGGCTAGTACAACAATGATTGTAACAGCATTGTTCATAATAGCCAAAAACTGGAAACACCTCCAATTTCCTTCAACAAGTGAATGGATAAATAAAATGTGGTACATCCATATCATGGAGTAGTATTCATCCTTAACAATGACTGAAGTACTGATTCGTGCTCTAACCTGCATGAACATCAAATTTTTTCAAACTATATTTTTTATTTTAGAGAGAGGGAGAGAGAAATGTGGGTAGATGTGAGCAAAATCGATTGGCTGCCTCCTGTGCGCCCCCTCCTGGGGAGCCAGCCCTGCAACCTGGGCATGCGCCCTGACCAGGGACTTAACCCGCACCTGCCACCTGCTGGGGACCTTTCCGTGCCTGGGAATGTCCACACTAGGAACATTCTTTTTTAAAAAAAAAAAAATCTTTATTGACTTCAGAAAGGAAGGGAGAAGGAGAGAGAGATAGAAACATCAATGAGGAGAAAGAATCATTGATTGCTGCATACCCCCCACTGGGGATGGAGCCCACAACCCAGGCATGTGCCCTTGGCCAAAATCGAACCTGGGACCCTTCAGTCCGCAGGCTGACGCTCTATCGTATCCACTGAGCCAAGCCGGCCAGGGCAGGAACATTCTTGATCCTCCTCCTGCAAAAGTTTCTCCAGGGCGGTGGCTTCTAGCCTGCACTGCACATTCATATCAACTGGGGTCTTATTAACATGCAGCTCCCAATGCAACCGACCAGGGCAGGACCCGAGAGTCTGCACGTCTAACAAGCTCGAGGTGACACAGGTGCTAGTGGTTAGCCAATGGCATGTGGTTCATAAGGTAAGAGTTTATACCTGAAAATGCACTTGTTGAGACATGGGTTCTATTATATATCTTTAATTTTAACCACGATGAGGAACTGCCAGACTATTTTCAAAAGTGGCCGCACTAGTGTGCGCGCGTCTCGCGAGAGGAAAAGCAATAATAGTACTCGGCACCAGGGCACACGCATTTCAAGGGACAGGCTGCGGACGAGGCACCCGGGAGGTCGGTGCGTGCAGGCCCGGCCGGGTCTCGCACCCGCAGCTCGAAGAGGCCCCAGCTCCAGGCGCGGCGGGTCGTGGAGGAAACGGGGAAAGCACCGCCGTGCGCACAGGCCTGCGGGGCGCTGCCGGCGCCGGTCCCGGGAAAGGCAGGCTTGCAGCCCGCGGCACTGCGGTCCGCGTTCAGGGCACCGCCTTGGGGACGCATATCCTGCGGCGCTGGGGGCCCCGCCCGGCCGCCGCCCGGATTTGCTGGAATCCGGTTCGTGCTCGCCCCCCCCACCCAGCACCGCGTGGCGCGCAGGCGCAGTGGCTGCTGGGGGTGCGGACCCGGCGCGAAGCGGGTGGTCTCCGCGGAATCGTGTTCCGGAGCCTCCGATCCTACCCTCTCCGCCAGCCCCGCGGCCCCAGCGAGGACCAGCTTTCGGAGCTGCCGGGCGGGAGCCGGCGTGTCCTCGCCGCGCGCGGTTGGAGGCTGTGCGCCTGCGGGCCGGGCCCCAGGGCGCCCTCCATGGCGGGGCCGCGGGTGGAGGTGGACGGCGGGCTCCTGGAAAGGGGTGAGTGCGAGCCCGAGCCGCGGGGTGTGGTGTGGGGTGTGAGTGTGGGGTGTGGTGGAAAGCTTGAGGGTCTCACCATCTCTCTTGTCTCCGCCCCACACCCTGCGCAGGGCGGCAAGATCCTTAGAGTGTCACGGGCCCTGAGCTGCCTCCGGGGCTCTCTTTGCGGGTGCAGAAGATCCGAGCCGGCCGCAGCACGCCCGGCCTGCGGTAATCGGGGCGCTGGGGGCGGACCAAGGGGTCTGGGGGCTAAGGGACAGGCCGTGGGAGTCGCGCTCTGGGGCCTGGGGGATGGCAGGGCCAAGGGGATGCCCGCTGGGAGACTGGGATGGGTGGGCTGGGGGCTGGGCGGGGGTGGCCGTGAGGGGCGGGCTGCGGAGCCTGGGCCTTGGGGATGGCGTGGGGCTGGGGACTCAGGAGCCGCCGCAGTGATGCTGAGAAGATCCGGGCAGCAGGGTCCCCGGGTGCGGGCTTCAGCCTGGGCTGTTAGCCGTGGCCTGGGTTGTTCAGTCTTGAAACCTCCAGGGGCAAACTTAGAAAACAGGCCCCCAACCCCCTCCCCTCTGACAGCTGTCATGGGGGTAGGGGGGCAGGACGGAAAGATTTCGTTTGGGGTGATGGGCACGATGCCGTGTGCAGATGATGTTTTGTTGACTTGTGCCCTTGAAACCTGCGTGATTTTGTGAACCATTGTCACCCCAAAACATTCAATTAAAAAAACAATCAAAAAGAAAGGAGGAAAACAGGGCCTGTGTCCTCTGGCTAGAGTTGTCTCGTTTCCTAAGGAGTTATCTTTCAAAATGCCTCCCCTCCTCCCGGGGCATCGCAGCTGCCTGGGGAGCTCGGAGCAGCGGGCAAGACAGGTGAGGCCGATGGGCCTGTGGAGCCAGAGGAAACCCCACTCTTTAAACAGCACATTTTCAAATCAGAACAGGAAGGGGCCCAGAGCTGGGTCCGTCTCGCTTTCATTCAGGCCACTAGGCAGCTGTGGTAGGACCAGGACGTAGGCTGCGTGCGGAGAGGGGGAACACGTTGCCCCTGGGCCTCGTCCCTGGTGTCTGGAAGCCAGGGATGCCATCCCATAAGGTTCGGGTGGATGCACCTGTTAGAAGAGGACCCAGGTGGAAGCCGGAGCGATTCCTCTGTGCGCATTTTGTGTGCGGTCCGTTGCCGTCGATCAGCTAGCTCTTAGCCTCTTCCTTTACCCACAGGCCATTTTGAAATGATTAAAAGGCAGTGAGTGAGCTGGTGAATATTCACTCCCTGTGCCAGAGTTCCCAGCACCCCCGTCACCAGCAGGGACATCCAATTCATGAAGGTTGCATTAGGCACATTATTGCTTTGCTGGGGCTGCCGTCACAACATCCCACAGGCTGGGCAGCCTAAAAACAGAAGTGTATGTTCTCCCAGTTCTGGAGGTCGAAGTTCAAGATCAAGGTGCTGGCGGGGTTGGGGAGGCCCACAGGGGAGGGTTCTGTCCCAGGCCTCTCTCCCTGGCTTGGAGGTGGCCACCCTCTTGCTCTTCTCACGGTCATCCTGCTGTACAGGCACATCCCGGGGGTCTCTCTGTGTCCTGATCTCCCCTTTTCATAAGGACACCAGTGAGAATGGATTACCGCCTTCACTGCCCCCTTTACCTTAATCAACTCCTGTAGGGGCCTGTCTGCAAATAGAGTCACCTTCTGAGGTGCTGGGGGTCAGGGCATCAGCGTATGAATCTCAGGGGACACAGTTCAGCCCCTAACAGGCGCCATAGACTATTCAGGGAAGGGCAAGGGGGAGTGGGGACACTTAGGCAGTTTTATTACTTTCCCTCTTTTGCATACTTCTAATTGACAGCATGTCAGTGTATGTGTTTATAGCTAAATGGTCTGGAAGGATCCCGTAAGATGACGCCTGCTAGCAGGTCGTCCAGGCGCATAAAACCCCCGCGGAAGGGCTGACCCTGGGAGGTGTCATGGCACGCGGGGCCGTAGGCAGTTGGAATGCACGCGTCTTGATGCAGTGTTTTGATCTAAAGGCCTCAGCACTTATCCGGACTGGAGATGATTCGAGACCTATGCGCCGGGCAACTGGAGGGAGCGGACATCGGCTCCACCGAGATAACGTTTACACCCGAGAAGATCAAAGGAGGGAGCCACACGGCCGACACCAAGACGGCAGGGTGCGTGGCTCTTCCTTCCTCCTAAGGCTGGGCGTTGGAGTCAGGCCCGGGTTCAAATGCCGGTCCTGCCTGCACCTGGGCACCGGGCTGAGCCCTTCTCAGTTTGTTTCCTCACTTTTTAAAGTGGAGATAACACACCTACCTTTGAGGGTTCGAGACTTTGGGGCACGTAATTGTTTATTAACTGCAGCTATTATATAGCTGGAATTTTCTCATGTGTATAGTATAGCATATTTGTTTCGCTGCTTTTTATTAATAGAAATTGCATATGTGAAAAAGGCTGTTTTCATGCTGTGTAGTCGTCCTCATCTCTGCCTGGGAGTATGCTTCATTCTTGACTCACAGCTATTACGAACCCTATTCTACTGCTTTTAGAATGAACTTGGTTTTCCTTTTTCCCATTGGAGAAATGGGTTTATCACATTTACATGTCAGGCCAGTTTCTGCGACTGTGTCTTTAAGATGGAGGATTTTGTCATTCAGTGACTGAAATGGCTTTTAACTTTAAACTTGAGGGCGTGGACCTGCTGTCCCTGTCCCCGTTGTCTGTGCTTCCGCCAAGGGGGATGTGTCAGTATCACCTTCTTGCGAAGCCTCGTCTCGAAGGAAAGTGCAGCTAAGCCCGCTCTGCCTTCCCCTCAGGAGCGTGTGCCTCTTGCTGCAGGTGTCCCTGCCCTGCGTCCTGTTCGCCGCGTCTCCCTCCGAGCTGCGCCTGCGAGGCGGCACCAATGCCGAGATGGCCCCGCAGATCGACTACACGGCCATGGTGAGGGCTTCCGAGGCTGCCGACACACCACGGTGACCTGTGCGCTCCATCTAAATGTATCCGAGTGGTTTTGTGCGCGTTCCTGTGTATTTCTTCACGGTGGGCTTATGTTTACCGTAGATTTCGTGTTGCGGCTTAGATAGGGTTCATGGTGAACCCTTTAAAAAGCTCGTGTCATTATTACACAAATTCTCTTACTTATTATACAAATCAGTTCTGGGACTTAGGATTTGGAAGAAAAAAAACCTCAAAACCAGAATGAAATACTATGTTTGACAAGTGTTGCGAGGAGGTGGAGAAAGTGGAACCCCTGTGCACTGCTGGTGGGAATCCAGTGTGGTAGCCGCTGTGGGAAACAATATGGAGTTTCCTCAAAAAGTTAAAAATAAAATGACCGCCTGATCCAGTAATGCAGCTTCTGGGTATTTGTCCAAGAGAATTGATAAATTAAGATCTCCGAGAGAGCTCGTGTTCATTGTAGTACTATCCATAATAGCCAAGAAATAACCTAAATGTATGTTATATTAAAAAAAAAGCGAGAAGGCGGAATAGAATCCTGTTCAGCAAAACCCTCTGATTCCTCGCGGAGCGTTACAGGGAAAGGGTTAGAAACAGCGCCTCCCGGGTAAAATGATCATTGGGATCAAGGACCCCGAGTTGCGATTTTTATTCTCATGACACAGACTTGCGCAGCCCTGGCTCATGAAATGTTAAACTTTCCACTTCAGCTCCACGCCCCTTATTTTATTAAAAACTGGAACTAGCCTACGCGTTGTTACGTCACTATAACCCCTCGTTACTAGCTCAGTCTCCGTGCTGGGCACTTGTGTCTAATAGATGCACTTGTTGAATCAGTGACTATTGGTTGTTAAGGCGACAATGCTCTCATTTTTCAGGTGTTCAAGCCAATTGCTGAAAAATTTGGTTTCAAGTTTAATTGTGACATTAAGATGAGGTAAGTTGCTTATTTCGCGGCCGTTGGACCCACCACTTATGGTAAAAATAGTGGAGAGGTCAGATGGCAGAGAACAGCGTCCTGGCACCCACTCTCCTTGTATGTCCTGTAGGGAATCACTGTGCTCTGTGGTTTGCCAACAGCAAGCAGCAGGAGCGGGGGCCTGGGAAGCAGCTGCCCGGGATACTCACTCGTTTGCGGGGAGAGAGATTTTCAGGGGGATTCTGCTCTGAGGCGCCTTCCTGTCTAGTGTGAGCTGGGCTCGGAGCGGATCCAGGGCCCCCACTGCGCCGGCGGCTGGACAGGGCCGGCGGGGTCACAGGAGGGATTCTCTGCACAGTCCCTCGGGGTGCTTTTCCAAGAGAAAGGCCACATTTCTTGCTGTGGCGCTGAAGTCTTGTTCCAATGTACCTTCTGGCTTCACTGTCCCCCTCTTTTTAAAAAAAAAAAAATTTTTATTAACCTCAGAGAGGAAGGAAGAGGGAGAGACAGAAACATCAGTGATGAGAGAGAACCATGGATTGGCTGCCTCCTGCACGCCCCCTACTGGGGGTTGAGCCCACAACCCGGGCCTGTGCCCTGACTGGGAATGGAACCCCGACCTCCTGGCTCATAGGTCGACGCTCAACCACTGAGCCGCGCCGGCCGGGCTCACTGTTCCCCTCTTCCTTTCCACATCCCGTGTGTCCTGATTATGCGACTGCCTGCTATTCCTTAACCCTGCTGTGCCTTCACACTTGCATGTCGTCGTTCATGTTTTTCCTCCCCTGCTCTCCTAAAAGTTGGAAATCCTGTATTTCTTTCCAGATGAAACTTGCAATTTCTTGTGTGACTTGTCCATGAGTTCATATGCACACCTCTGGTGTGGTCCTCACAGCCTGACTCCCGCTGTGTGAGGGGCCATCGCCTCCCCGACGGGGAGCGCCTCGTGGACAGGAGCCCCGCGCCCTCACCCGCGTGTTCTCAGCGTCTCCCGTCGAATCAGTTGTATTGGTGTTCAGCTCCTTAAACACATTCTTCACTGAGCACCTACTACACGCCACGTGTTGTTTTAGGCTCTGGAACGTGGCAGGTGCAAAAGAGACACGGTCCTACCTCAGGGTTTTATTCTGAAACAACCCTGGGCAGGATCGCCTCCTGCCGGGAGGGAAATGTCCCCCACCCGTCCCCCTGTCTGTCCCGCATGGTAGCCACTGGCCACATATGACTGTTGAGCCCTTGGAATGCGGCTGGTGCGACTGGGGAGCTGAGCTTACGTTTTATTTCATTGAAGTAGTCCCTTGGTGATGGAGGCTACCATATTGGGCAGCACAGATCCAAAAGGGGGCTTGGCAGTTTTAACCAGCAATTCTGTGGTTGGATATCATCCCCATGTTATTACCTGGTAAATATCGAGCTTTATTTGTGTCATGCCGTCAGGGAATGTGAGTGTTCGCCATGCTTTTTTGTAGGGGCTACTACCCAAAAGGGGGTGGTGAAGTGATTGTCCAGGTGTCTCCAGTGAAACAGCTGAACCCGATAAACATAACTGAGCGTGGCTCTGTGACGAAGATATCCGGGAGGGCTTTTGTGGCCGGCGCTTTGCCCTTTAAAGTAAGTCGTCCATTTTTTAAAAATTATTATTATTTTTTATTGATTTCAGAGAGGAAGGGGGATGGCGAGAGAGATAGAAACATCAATGATGAGAGAGAATCATTGATCTAAAGTAAGTCATCCAGATGTTCTTGGCAGTGTGTGAAGTCTTGATAAGTATTCTAGCAACTAAACTTAGAAATGATTAGAAGAATTAATTTGTTAATCTTTTTATTAAAATTTTCTTCTTACAATTCTGTGCTCTCTGCTCATGCAAGTCAAGCCTTTCTGTAACGCACATAGAAGTTGTTTGTCTCGAAGGTGTGAAGACAGTTGCCACAATCATCGTGAACTTGGTTTACTCTGCGTTTCTGTTTCGCCAAAACAGGTAGCGAAGGAGATGGCGGCGGCGGCCGTGAGGTGCCTCCGGAAGGAGTTCAGGGACCTGTACGTGAACATCCAGCCGGTCCAGGAGCCCCGGGACCACGCCTTCGGCAACGGCAGCGGCATCATGTGCGGCTCCGGGCTTTCTCCCACACCTGGGTTGAAATAACTGTCTCGTACACATGCAAGATTTGGAGGGTGGTGTGTTTGTGTCTTTTGTTGAAGTTTATAGTTTTAAGAAGATCTATTTTAAAGGGCATTTACACCTGAAACAGCTGTGCAGTGAATGAAGATGATTATTTTATTCCGAATTTTTTTCTGAGGACGGTTTGCCTTTATTGCATTGCAAGAGCCCTTTGTCTGTGTGGTGAACTTCGACGCCGACGCTCACCAGAAGTTGGCCTTTGAAGCTGATCTGGGAGAAATATTTCCCCTTGCTTTTCTGTACCTGTGTGAAGTCAGTTTACAGACGAATATTAGATTTGGCCAAGATCTTTTCGAAAAGAAATAGAGCCCCAGCTGGTTTGGCTCAGTGGATTGAGCGTTGGCCTGCGGACTGAGAGGTCCCGGGTTCGATTCCGGTCAAGGGCATGTACCTCAGTCGCAGGCTCCTCCCTGGCCTGGGCCCCTCCCTGGCCCTGGTCGGGGAGTGTGCAGGAGGCAACCAATTGATGTGCTTCTCTCACATTGATGTTTCTTTCTGTCTTTCCCTCTCTCTTCCATTCTCTTTAAAAATCAATGGAAAAATATCCTCAGGTGAGGATTAAAAAAAAAGAAGAAGAAATAGAAATGTAACTACTCTATTAATCTAATTAGGAGTTAGTGATTCGAGTGTTATAAAAATGCTTATTTGAGGTGTAAAAGTCTCTTTTGTGGGTATTTAAATGTTAAGGTCTTTTTCGGAGTTACTGCTAACGGGGTTAGAGTAAATGCGTGCTCTAGTGTGGTAACGCTGTCTGAAACCTAAAATGAAACTGAGCATCTCTCTGGAAAGACCTTCCCATTTAAGGTCACCCTTGACTGCTGTGCGGCGCAGTGTGGCTGTGGGGCGGCAACACGTCGTGCAGGACGGGACTTCCCGGAGGGCTCCCCCCACCTGGGGGTGGGTTGGCATCGAGGATGAGGGCCCTCACGCCTCCGTGAGGATGGAGAACGTCAATCACGCTGCTCTCCGCTGGAAGCACTCACTTTTGCCGCGTACCAGCCAGATCTGATTCTCCCCGTCGGCCAGCGGCCGCCCTGTGTCCTGGCATGTACGCGAGGGTCTCGGTGGCTCGGGCGCTCATGCTCTTCTCTTCCTCTGCAGCGTGGTGGCTGAGACGTCCACGGGCTGCCTGCTGGCGGGGTCAGCGCTCGGCAAACGAGGTACAAACGAAGGGGGTCCCCTGTGCCCAGCGCCAGTTAAACTCTCCATGTCTCTGTGGGAGGAGTGCTGGGTGGCAGGCTGAAAAGGGTACGGTTGACTGGTTCTGTTTTAGAGCCCATTACGTTTTCAGTCTTTCCCCCAGCTTTACGCTTTGAAAGATTTGAAACCCATAGAAGAGTTGCAGGGCTGGTGAACGCCCCACCTTGTTCTCACTGCCCGCCCCCCCCCCCCCCCCCGTCCTGAGCATCGAGCTGCAAGATCTCTGAAGATGGCAGCATCATCACAGCACCATCCTTACGCCCCAAGAAGGTGTCTGTCACCTACAGACATAACCATTGCACCAAAGTCTCTTAGTGCAATGTGGGGTTTTCAAAAATACTTATTTTTATTGATGCCAGAGAGGAAGGGAGAGGGAGAGAGAGAAACATCAATGATGAGAGAGAATCATTCGTCAGCTGCCTCCTGCACGCCCCCCACCCCCACTGGGAATCTAGCCCGCAACCTGGGCATGTGCCCTGACCAAGAATTGAACCGTGACCTTCTGGTTCATAGGTTGACGCTCCACCCCTGAGCCACTCAGGCTGGGCAGATTTTCTTGTTTTATTATCTTTTTTAAGCACTGACAGCATTTGGTCATCATGTCTGTTGAGTTTCTTTTTGCTACAGAATAGTCTCTTCACCATTTTCCCCCCCTTTGGTGATATTGACATTTTAAAAGTCCAGACCATTTTCTTATAAGATTTCCCACCTTTTGGGTTTGCTTGATCATCTTGTGGTTAGACAGTCATACGCCGAGTGCCCAGAAGGTTAAATACAGGAAAGCTCCTGCCCTGGAAGTCGCACTGCATGAGTGGAGAGGCCTGAAAAACGTCGTATCCGTGCTGACGGGGATCTGCGAGTTCAGGTTTTGGCCTCTCCGTTAATGCAGTTGTTTTACCCCGTGCCTGTAGGTGTCAATGCAGACAAGGTTGGCATCGACGCTGCGGAGATGCTCCTGGCGAACCTGAGGCACGGCGGGGCCGTGGACGAGTACCTGCAAGACCAGGTAGCGACTTCCGGGGCCAGCCTCGGGGCCTGTCGGATCTGAATGCTTGGTAGTTGCGTTGAGTGCACATGTTAATACTGACTGTCAGACCCCGGCTGTCAGGCCCCGGCTGGCGTGGCGCAGTTGAGTGAGTTATTAAAGTATTAGCCTGGAATTTGTTCCTCGGATTCCAGACCTGGCTGCAGCACTCGGCACGGCCGGTCACCCTCCCTCCTGAAATACTTCCTCCCGTGGTGCTGACACACTGTCTTCCTGTCTCAAGGCCATCTATCCAGTCTCTTTGCTGGCTCGTCACTGTTGACATTCCCATCATCTCACCCTGAGCAGTTAGGGAGCCCGAGGCTCGGGCTCACCCCTCTTTTCTGGGTCTGCATTCACTCCCGTAGTGACTCTGCCCCATCTCATGGGTTAGGTTCCATCTGCACTGACAACTCTCAGGTCTCCGTCCCTGGCCCCGCCTTGCTCCTCATCCCATCGCTCATGCCTGCAGCGCCTCCTCTCGGAAGTGCCATAGGCCTCTACCCGGACACGCCTGCTCCCACTGAGAAACCAGTGACTATTTCCAAGTGGCATCTTCCCGTGGCCCACCGTCCTGATAGATTTTCCTCCTGCCACGCTTTTCCCTTCTCCATCTCAAGTCAGCAGCCTCCCTTTAGAAACTGTTCCTCAGGCTCTTGACCAGTTTCTTAAGACGGTTTCCCTTACTGCCAGTCCCTTCCTTCCGGCCCAGGTCTACGCCACGCTCGCCGTAATTCTGAATTAGAGTGTTGATTTACCTGTTAGAAGGGTGTTCTTCTAGAGGGTGGAAGAAGCCTGTCATATGTAGACCAGCCCGTACAGATAGTTGGTCTGATTACTATGTCACCTTTCAGCAATAGTTTATTCTTAAGCATTAATTTTTAAAAAAATCTATATTGAGGACTGCTGTGGAACGGTTTGGTACCACACTATAGACTCTGGGTGACACGGGTTTTCTGTCATCTTCTTAGGGTTTCTGGAAACCTAAGGAAATAGGAATTCTTTCAGCTGCTATGATTTCTGGTATTTATATGTGGGAAGCAAGAGAATTTTAACTCCAATATTAGCCACTGTGTGAGATGTTTCTTCTTTACTCCTTTTCCATAGCTGATCATTTTCATGGCACTGGCCAACGGAGTTTCCAGAATAAAAACAGGACCCGTGACACTCCACACGCAGACGGCTATACATTTTGCCGAACAGCTAGCAAAGGTGAGCGTCCCAGCAGAAGTAGTAGCTGATTTTTATCATAGCCGGTTTGGGGTCAGATTTTAATAAACAGAAACCCAGTTGTCTTTATACATTTTATATTATTTTATAAAACTACATTATAAAGACTGTAGTAAGGTGGACATATGCTCCATGTTACTGAAAAAGGCAAGAAATGAAGCTGTGTGCATTAACTGTAAAAAGTGCAGAGAACCAATTTTAAGAGAAGAAAAAATACTTAAATGCTTAATTTAAAAAAAAATTATAAAATTAAAAGGACTCTGATGTTTAGCTACCCACCTGTTTAAGCTCATGGAGCTATGGGCACTTCCTATCACCTGCGCACTGAGCTCTCTCCTGGTTTCAGGCTAAATTCACGGTGAAGAAATCAGAAGAGGAAGGAGATGCCTCGAAAGACGCCTACATCATCGAGTGCCAAGGGATCGCGATGACGAATCCAAACCTGTAGGGGCTGTGCCTTGGGGACGGCACCGCGGCGACCTATCGCACTGACTCATGTCGTAAATACCGCAGGACGGCACTTCGGGAGTCCTTGCTAAAGGACCCACTGAAACTCCAGGCGGAGTAGAGTGTTCTAGATCTGCAGGGCCGCGGTCCAATTCGTCTGACTCAGAATGTCCCCCGGCACGTGGACAGGGAGCTGTCCGCCGGTGGGTGTCTGACAGCTGATCTCAGTGTGAACGTGTTGGTATAAAATCTTCTGTTCCCCCGGAGTACGTGTGCTTTCCTTTCTTACTTAATAAATGAAGTCGGGGATGTCGAGGTGCCCGTGATACCTGCGTGGTCTGATCGCTGCGCCGAGTCTCACGCACCGTGTGAATGGACCGCTCCCCGCTCACGCCCTCGCTGTGTCCACGACTCAGTGAGCATCGTCTCATCCTAACTCCACATGCCCTCTCCCTCGCCCTCGCCGGGCCTGGGGTAACACGCCGGCGCCGAACCTGTTGGGCGTGTTGTGAAAGCCAAACAAGGAGAATTGCAGGATGTGGGCCCCAGCTCTGTTACTGTTCCGCTCGCAGGACAAACTGGCTGTGTGTCTCGGAACACAGCGTGCCTTCCATCGCTCGGCATTCTCGCAGCACCGGGCGCTCCCACACTTACGTTACTTGGGAACCAGTTTGGTGTCTGAGCTAAGCGGGCTGAACTGTTCCGTCTGGGACTTCAACCCGTGATGATGAAAACAGTCCAAGACATAGATCAAACAGTCCAAGACATAGATCAGAGGGTGGCGTTACCACACATTCAGAAAGCGCTGAGCTGGTCTACATTTGTTATGCTTAACTGTACAGTAATTGAGGAAGGAAGGGAGGGAGAGAGAGGAAGGGAGGAAAAATAGGAAAGCAATACATGGAAAATGTTCAAGGCAGCTGACTAATGGGAATGAGGGCTCTGTGTACACAGGGGTGGGCAAAAGCCGGTGAAATCCCAGCCATCATTACCTAACAGATAAGTCCTAAGGACAGTAACAAGATAATAATGAATAATAGAGGAATAATACAAATAAATCATACAATAGTGAATAAATAATAATACAAGAATAAACTTTCGTGTACTCACAACTGTAAACCGACCTTTGCCCACCCCTGTAGATACTGCTGCTGCTTTCTGTTTTTTCCCCATTTTCCAAATCATGTAGTTGGGATAATACGTTAAGACGTGAGGCGATTGAAGGCGGTTTCTAGGCTGCGCTTCTGAAGAGCTGTGTCCTGGCGAAGACAGCCCAGCGCGAGGCGCCTCGACGGTCATCACCAACCGGCTGTCTCAGACGCCTGGGGACTGGCTGTGCAGCCGCCGGTCGGAGCCACTTGTCCGGCAGCGTGCACCAGTGTCTCAGGGCAGCCTACACAGATGCCGCTCCCAGGCTGCCCGCTCAGCCCCCTGGAATTCTGACGGGATAACTGGGGGGAGACCCAGGAGTCTCTATGTTTCTCAAAGGGCCCCGAGGCGAGCAACTGGTTCGGACTGGCCACCTGACACCCTGGGAGGAGCACTGGCCCCAGGAGGCTCCAGGCTGGGGCACCGCTGGAAGAATCCACGCCCCACGTGGGAAGAAAGAGGCGCAGGTCGGTCATTACCCCGTTGTCATAGGATCAGATTCCAGAAACTCAAGTAGGAAGGCAGCCCCCAATCCCTGCTCGCCTCTGCTCAGCATTGATTCAAAGTGCAGCACATCCCTCCTCGCGCTCAGGTTACCAGCCTCGGTGTGCAGGGGGTCCTGCCGGCGGGAGGAAGGCCAGGCCGCAGCACGACGCTCTCTTCCCCACCATGTCACGGCCCTTCCAGAGCCAACAGACAAGCAGATGCGAGTTTGCCGACAGCTCCACCGCTTCCTAGCTGTCAGCTTAGGTGAGTTAACCAGCCCTGGAGCCTTAGCTTTTCAGGGGACCCTATTTTTCGATCGCTTACAGAAGTATCAGTTGAGTTGAAATGCTTAGAACTGTTAGATTTCCATTCTTTTATAAAATTACTAGAGCCCCAGTGCACGAAATTCAGGCACTGGTAGGGTCCCCAGCGGGGCCCCCTCCTTTCCCCCAGCCGGCCCCGCCCCCTGGTCGAACTCCTGGACAAGTCCCGGTTGAGGGGACAATTTGCATACTATGCTTTTATTATATAGGATGAGGACTAGAATCTGATATTCTTTTTTAAAAAATATGTTTTCATTTCTTTCAGAGAGGAAGGGAGAGAAGGAGAGAGATAGAAACATCAATAATGAGAGAATCATTGGTCAGCTGCCCCCTGCACGCCCCCTACTTGGGATGGAGCCTGTAACCCGGACATGTGCCCTGACCGGGAATCAAACTGTGACCTCCTGGTTCATGGGTCAACTCTCAACCACTGAGCCACACACCGGCCGGGCAGAGTCTCTGATATTCTTCCCAGCTCTACCATTCCTTGTATGGTCTGCCAGGATCCTATTTCTATTTTAAGTGGAAACATTTGGGTCCTTGCAGAACACATAAAGTCACAATGTTGAGATAAAAAAAGCCATTAGAATCATTCTGCTGCCTTGGCAGGACATTTTTAAACAACCCGTGTATTCCTCCACCGAATAGGGCGGTGCCTGCTGCAGGTGACATGAGACCGCAGGGTGAGGCCGCTTCCTGAACCGAAGGCAATCTTTGCAGCTACCCGTCCCCCTCCCCCCCCAAGAACTGCCTTATCAGACAGATCCTGGTGAATGTCCTCAGTGGACTTTCTGTCTCGGAAAAGAGCGCCCATTGATGCGAAACCCGAGGGCCCTCACGCCGCGCCGCAGCGGGCGGCTCCCCAGTGGGCCGTGTGAACAACCAATGACGTCGAATTCCTAAGGCGCTTTTGAGCTGAAATAGGGCACGGCGTCTCATCTCACTCCTGTCCTGGCTCGGGTTTCACCCCCTCGGTCACCCCAGAGAACACAAAGGGGAAAGGTTCCCTCTCCAGGCCGGGAGCCTGGAGCCCTGCCCTTTCCCACCCTCTCACCTTTCTGGCCGCCGGGTCCCCTCCCACACCGGTGGGTAGGCGTGTGCAGACAGCCGACCCGGATGGCGTCGTGGGGGTTCTCAGGCACTAAGGCTTACAGTTGAGATTTTTTCTCCAGTGTCCTGCACATCTCTCAGCTGGCTTTGCATATTCAATCTCCCAGTTATTCATTCTTTAAAAAAAATGATTTTAGAGGGAGGGAGGAAGGGAGAGAGACAAACATCGATTTGTTGTTCTACTTCTTTATGCATTCATTGGTTGATTTTTGTTGTTGTTGTTAATCCTCACCCGAGGATATTTTTCCATTGATTTTTAGAGAGAGTGGGAGGGAGGGAGAAAGACAGAAATAGAGAAACATCGACGTGAGAGAGACACATTGAGTGGTTGCCTCCTGCATGCACCCCGACCAGGGCCAGGGATCGGGCCTGCCACCTACGTACGTGCCCTTGACCGGGATCAAACCCGGGACCCCTCTGTCTGCAGGCCGACGCCCTATCCACTGAGCCAGACCAGCTAGAGCCATTGGTTGATTCTTGCATGTGCTCTGACCAGGGATGGAACCCACAACCTTGGCATGTCAAGGCAGTGCTCTAACCACCTGAGCCACCCAGCCAGGGCCTGCTGAGCACTCTCACCACATGGACTTGCAGGTGTAGAGTACCAAGCAGGTACTCTTTTTAAAAATATATATATATTTTTATTGATTTCAGAGAGGAAGGAAGAAGGAGAGGGAGAGAGAGATAGAAACATCAATGATGAGAGAGAATCATTGATCGGCTGCCTCCTGCACGCCCCCTACTGGAGATCGAGCCCGCAACCCAGGCCTGTGCCCTTGACCGGAATCGAACCTAAGACCCTTCGAACCTGGGACCCTTCAGTCCTCAGGCCAACGCTCTATCCACTGAGCCAAACCAACCAGGGCCCAAGCAGGTACTCTTCTTGGCATCCACTTAGCGCCGAGGTCTACATAGGGACCTCACTCCCTGGAGCTTGGTTACTCTGATGGCCCTCCCCCCTTTTCCATCCTGTGGGCCTGTCTGTTCCCTGGACGCCTTGCCCTCACCCTGGGAGGCGGTGGGTAGCGTCATTGAATCTAGAAGGAGCAGAGCAGGTAAGGGAACCAGGCTCAGGGAAGCCATGGACAGGGCCAGAACTAGTCACAATAGGGAAGGAAGGGCTCCTCCAGTCACACGGTGGGAAAACATGGCCACGTCACAGGCCAAACCAGGAGAGCGCCCAGGACACCAGAAGCAGACGCGGAGCTCCCCAGGTGAGACCTCGGACCGAGCTGCAGGCTTCTGCAGCAGGAAGCCCTGGTAGTGTCCTCCCAGCTGTCCTGCCGAGTTCTTGTTGTGTGAGGGGTCCAGGCACCCGACTTCCCAACCCAGCGCCCAGCGCTGAACTCCCCCGGGCCCCTCCGGAAGACCTGGGTTCCATCCTGATGTACTCCCCATCCCCGCGGTCCCTGCGATCCACTCCACAGGGTCCACGTGGTCCACGCGCTGGCTGTTGGCGAAAGCTGCCCGATGCTTCCACATGCCCTTGGCTGGGGTATCTTGTCCTTTCCCGCCCTGGAGATGGTCTTTTCTCTGTAAAGACCCTGAATAATCTGTTTTCCCGTCTTCTTACTCTTGGGGTTTCTGACACTGAGATTCTTCCTCTCAGGTTTCTCTCTCTTCCTCCTCTTCGCCTCCTTTGTCATCAGTAGATCCTGTCACGCTCTCTTCTCCCCCCTGTGCCTCTTCCCGGCAGGTGCCTTGTCATTCCCTTAGCGTTCCCCCACTTTTCCCTCCCAGCTCCTCACAGCCCCGGTTCCCGAGTCTCCCGGGACCAGCCGTCTTAGATGTCGCAGACGCGACCTCACAGTTCGGCTCACATACGTCGTCAGCCTGCTCGCCGTGGCTCCCACGCTGATGGAAGTTTTATTGTCCTGCCTGGGACTTGCAGTGTCTGTAACACACGGTGTGCTCTAGACAAGAATTTTTAAATGTTTGCTTTTCCAATTCAGTGACTGCAGTCAGGATCATCCGCGTGCCATTGTATGACCACACGCTGTCACACAATCCCAGCGTTCACACTCGCACATGTCATTGCCTGGCACCACAGAGAACAAGGGGGACTCAACATGTGACTGGCGTGTTTGAACAAAGCGGAGGCTGAATGACATCACGGGACATGGTGCAGACGGATGTTTTCCAGGGACTTAAACACAGAGGACGAAGGGAGGAGTGAGTCAGCGCAGCCCGAGGGAGGCAGACCTGTTTGGAGCGAGGACTGCTGTGCCCAGTTTAAGGCAAACCACCGCATCAGGCAC